TGTGTTGTTGTGTGTTGTTTGTGTTGTTGTGTGTGTGTGTTGTTGTGTGTTGTTGTGTGTTGTTGTTGTTGTTGTTGTTGTTGTTGTTGTTGTTGTTGTTGTTGTTGTTGTTGTTGTTGTTGTTGTTGTTGTTGTTGTTGTTGTCGTCGTTGTTGTTGTTGTTGTTGTTGTTGTTGTTGCTTGTTGTTGCTTGTTGTTGTTGTTGTTGTTGCTGTTGCTGTTGCTGTTGTTGTTGTTGTTGTTGGTGTTGGTGTTGGTGTTGTTGTTGTTGTTGTTGTTGGTGGTGGTGGTGGTGGTGGTGGTGTTGGTGTTTGGTGTTGATAGTTTTGTTCTCGGTTTGTTGCAGGTGGCTGGCCGTTTCGGCACAGGATTCCAGTAGGTTTTGGATTTGTTTGATGCAATGATTTCAATCTGAGTCCCAAATTTCAGGCTATGAATTGAAGTCTTCACACGGCCAGGAGATGTTCTGCCCAAGGTGAAGGATATGTTGGACGCTTAGTTTAAAAAAATTAAAATTATCCTGAAGAGTGTTGGTCGCAGTTGCCTCAGTGACAAGTCTTTGGCATGACCGTTTCGTGAGGCGATCACCCACACTGCCCCGGGGCCCGAACTATTCAGGTTGATCCACAATTCCCGCCGACAGCAGCATCACTTTACCTTTCTTCAGAGGAGGACCCGCGTGCCCGATTTTTGGCCATCTTAATCTTTGGCTGGGCGCAGTTTATTCAGTAGCATGAACTTGTTGAAGCTGTGGCCACATTGTATCCCCATTTTTGTTGGTTAACCAAGCAAGGTATTTCCCAGCCATTCTCCCACTTATTCACTGGTGGGGTCCACTTCACACCACGAGTGACAGGCGATTCGGCGGGTCTCCGACGTCCCAATGTCTTGATTGCAACGCGCCACAAAAACACAGCTCTACATGAATGTATATTGTACTAAAAAAAAATGCCATACATGGAAAAATCTATCTGGTTGGTGGTTTGGATTTTTTATTTTTCCATATATTCGGAAGAATAATCCCAACTTACTAACATTTTTCAGAGGGGTTGAAACCACCAATCAGATATTTAAGTAAAATGCATATAGATCATATATGCATGTTGATCGATGCCGTTCTTGGAAGGTTTCCTCGAGTGCCCGCTGTCGCAGGAACACACCTGGCAGTGTTTGAATTGTCAGACCCACAGCCCGTCCTTGGCCACAGAATGGGTGGGACAAGGGCTGCAACGGCAGAGGTTGAAGCTGGTGCTGACGAATTGCGGTAGATGACGCTATGGAATCAACTGCGCTCCAAGTTTCAACAGAAGTGTGTTGAGGATGTTGCTATATATATCAAACTTGAAGGGTCTTGAAGGGATAAGTTGTGATACGTGCCCTGTCAATCTAATTCATGAATCGCATTTTTCTAGGCCATTCTGTTGTTGTCAGCCATCTTCCTGCGAGAGCAAGTGCTGCAGGTTGCCACCCGTACCGCCCTTGGCAAAGTCCCAAGAAGAGGCACTGCAACAGGAGCAGGAGAGAAGTGCGACCGGGTTCGGAGCCAGTTTGGTGCAGGGTAACATGTTCATTTATTTTTCATGAAATCTAAAGGTGCACCGAGTTTCTGTGGGGTTCGGATATGCTCAAATGCATCTAAGACCCCCTTTACCTCTTGGAGAAATGTTGAAAAACAACGGCTTGGCACCAGGATTTCAAAAAGGAGGCCAACTGTCGAGGCTGTGGGCAACCTGCCCACTATGTGGTCCAGGCCGGGTTTGTTTGCCTATCTGCCATTTGAAAGTTACCGGTCACAGCATCCCTATAGGAATGATCATACGGGATGGGCATTGGAGACAAGCATGTCACGGACAGAGGAACATGTTGTTTAAGCAGGTTTAAATTTGTTTAAAGCACATTGCAACTTGGAACCTCTGTTCCAAATGTCCGGGTGAGTTTGTAGCGAATTCGCAACGGCGAGAATCATCCCGGAATTGGCGGACATTTTTGGTTTTAAAAGTGTCCATCCCTTTCACACTTCGACCCTGGGAATCACATATTTTGAAAATTTTGCAGCCGAAAAAAAAACATCTTCCAAACCCCCAACTCACGGCAGGGTCCTGACGGCAGGTGCGTTACTTCACCCGACCCACCCAGTGGCTGCGGCCCGGGCACAAGTGCGAGGCCATGAGATCGGTGAGTCCCAGCACCTTACCCTCTGGTAAACATACAAAAAGCTATTGAAAATGGGCATAGAAAGAGTTGAATTACCCATATAAAATGGTGATTTTCCATCGTTTTTTGTATGTTTACCAGAGGGTAACACACCGCGATGTCATATCCCACTTCCCACTATTCTAAATGCCATGCCAGCCATGGCATTTTGCAGTCTCTGTCGATGTCCCATGCTTGTGACAATTTGTCATTTCTGTTGATTCCGGTCAAATCCCAGATTTGTCTCGATCAAATCAGCGCTTTGCTTGTTAAACTCATACCTTTGGTCCCGGAAAAAAAACACAGATTAAAGGACATATGTTCATGATCCAGAAGATAGGTGGTTTCTTAAACCTTCCTGCAAAAGCCGCATGTTGATTTCCAGATCTCCCACTTCCACCAGGGATGCGAACTTGTTTGGGGACAGCTCCGGGGTGAGATGGCTGCGACCATGTGGAGCCCTCGGAGGATTGCCCCAAGAATATGGGAGCAGGGATTTGCTATGTAATCCTGAGTTGCCATGCAGGTCCAGATTTTTTCAACTCAGGATGGATGCCTTTTGACATCGAAATATTTTTTGTTCTATGACACCCTGACTAAGGTCCTTATGGATTTCTTGTTGCCTGGGTTTCTTTGAACCTCATGCTGCTTTCACTTTTTCCAGCAGCTGTGTTTATGAGTGTTGTTGACTGAGGTGCACCCACTATCTTCGAGATTCGGTCTCCCAAACAGTGGGGAGCTTTTCATGACTTGGTGCCAGCTGATCCCGTTACTCAACGGATGCCAATGAGTTGGTAACTCAACTGGTTCTAGCAGTCTCAGCCTTCATCTGCCTTCTTGTAGCCATGGGCCCGCAGATGATTCTGCAACATTCTGATTTTCATAAAGGGTTTGGCTGGCGGTTTCATTTTGGTCGTGTCCTGTCTAGGATGAGCTGATAAGCCCCAACTCATGTCCTGAGGGGATGACTTGAAGCCTCCAAAACAACATGACATGGAATCCGTCAGCAACTCCATTGGGATATTGGGGAGAGTTCAGCCTTGTATTTGACCACTTCATGGTTCAGGAATTTTGCTATACATGATCGAAATGCAGTGACAGGAAATTCCAGCTGCATAAGTATGACAAGGATTGGTGTCCCGCTTTGGTTCCTTGCTGGTGGTGCTTCTTCCTTGGGTCCCGCATGCATTGCCTTCCCTTCTTGCATTTGGGGCTCAACCAAGACCCCCCCGAAGAGGGGAACCCCCCAATGACTGTTTATTATTACTTACTACTTATTTCTGTAGCCAGCAACCACCACCAAGAACTGGGTATCAACCAGCTATCATTGCGGGGTCGCCCTTTAAGGGGCTGGTTAAATCCATCTCTCTGCAAGTGCTCCTGTTGCACATGTGTAGCCACCCTGCGGCTTTCCGCGAAAAAATGAGCTTGGTTTTACCATGCTTTACCTCAGCAATGACGGGCTACCAGAACAAAATAAATATAGGGTAACATGTGATCCAATCAGCATGCATTTGTTTGGTAACAAATTTATGGCAGAGTTGCACCCTAATTTTGATTAGGCAGCGACTAAGAGGGCCCAAGATTCGCCAATATATCAGGGGTGAGGGTTCCTCCCTAAAAATATATGTGTCCATTTCAGTTTGAGTGAGGCTGGGGAGTTCTCATAATTTGTAAGATCTAGATAGATCTAGCATATATATATATTAATATATATATATATATTAATATATATATATATAATTATATAAAATCAAAATCACACACACATATATATATATATACATATGTATATATATATATATATAAAAAAAATACACACGGTTTCGCTGCTTTAAACCATCATTTTCGCTGAAACACCTGGCTTGTGATCCAAGGTCCTGGGCATAGCCTGGAAGGTGATTCGAGAGGCCATGGCATCTGGTGGATGGGGGCTGTTTGTCGGTGGACCTGGTGGAACTGGCTGCAGAATGGAAAGCTTTAGTCGAGAAGATTGTGCTCGGTGGCTCAACATGGCTCAACTATCGTATTGCTTGTGAATTATATTATACCTGTTGCCGGAAGATCTGTCCACTGTGTTCATGTTGGGTTTCAAATGATTTGAGGCATGGTGAAAGGCGGCTGGGGTGCCATTGGAAGATTCCCTTGGATCCCTTTTGCACGGCGGCAAGTTCATGTTGCATGTCCAAGTTACACCCACGAAGGGGAAACGTGGGTTTGGAGGATTGATAGGGTGTCTTTGTGCCATTCTGTCCGCCTAAGATAGGCGTATTTAGCAAATTCACGGGTTCTCCCGCAGCTTGTGAGCGAAAGCACCTCCGCTGCTGTTTGCAAAGGCAAGCCAGGCAAATGAAATTGTTTGGTTGTTTAGTTTCATAGGATCACATATCACAAACATCTTTAGTGACTATGTATGTATGTATATGCGCATATAAGGTCCATATCCTCATATACAAACATGTCAATAAGTTTGAAATCGTGATTGCACCATGGTGGTCAGAGACTACGGGTCATAGCCCCAGCAAAGACTCCAGCAAGGGAAACCCGCTTCAGAAACCATCACCACAAAGGTTCGATGGACTGATTTTCAGCTCAAGGGACACCTTGCTTGATGCACACATATGTATATATATATATAACATATGTCATTTCGTGATTGTTTGCTAGATGGTTTGCACGCATCAGTGAAAGGACAAATGCTGATGTTGATATTGTTCGTTTCACGGTGGTTGAATTGATCCAAAGATGCCGTAGCGAACACCAAAAACGAACCCACGAATTTTTTATGCACCTCCCTTCGTTGTAACATGGCGCTGCGGTATCTTGCGCTGTTCTTGTTGCTGCGACTCCTGGGGGCCGAAGAACGCTGGGACCCTCTCTATGGCTGGATCTATGTGCCTCATGCCAGGAGCAGGGGAAAATTGGGGGTGGCACCTGGAAAAAACTGCCTTTTTTGGGGGGCAAAAGTGGCAACGCCAAGGTAGGGATTGATAAAACGGCCCATTGATTTTGGATGTTAAACATGACCGTGTTTGGATGTTGGAGTGCTTGCGTCATTTCACCACTCCTGAAAGAGTCAACAACAATGAATGGGCCTACTGCAAATTGTAGCCGTTGGAGCCCGTTGAAGGACCAGTCAATCTCCAATTTTGCTTTTCTGTTTGGGCTCATGCGCCATTACTTGGGTTGAACGGACTTGGAGTATCACTTCAGTTCGTTGCTGGAGTGATGGTTGATACTTGCCCAAACTGGTGTGCGGATTTTAGCCCCACTTCTTCTCGCCTATTTAACTGCTTGACCGTCAGATGACCTTTGTGCTAGGAATGTGGGGAAGGAGCTGGACTCCTTTATTGAACCTGGAAACTGCAAAGGCTCGACTTCCCATTCCCGGCTTGGAAAGTCATGTCAGCTTGTGGTGCGCCTCGAAGGTACTATAACTTGTGACTAGTATTGAATAATGTCAACTCTGGATGACAAGCCGTTGCTTGAAGAATCCAGGGGTTAGAGTACACCCAAGTAAGTCAAGTTCCAGAGATAGATAGATAGATAGATAGATTAGATTAGATTAAATTAGATTAGATTAGGTTAGATTAGATTAGATTGACACTAGCCTAATAGCTGTAACAGCGAGCACGATCTAGAGCACGATTTTTGGCACGAAGGAGAGCACCAAAAAGCACGATCTAGAGCACGATTTTTGGCACGAGGGAAAGCACCAAAAAGCACGATTTGTGGCACGAAGGAGAGCACCAAAAAGCACGATTTTTGGCACGAAGGAGAGCACCAAAAGGCACGATCTAGAGCACGGTTTTTGGCACGAGGGAAAGCACTGAAAAGCACGATTTTGTGCACGAAGGAAAACACTCAAAACAACGTTCGCCCAAAATATAATGAAATCGTTTTTTTGACTGTTACAGCTTTTAGGACGGACTCAAAGATAAGATTTGATTTGATTAGATTAGATTAGATAATATAAGATAAGATAGATATATAGGTAGATAAAGATAAGTAAGTAAGTAAAAAATTAAGTAAGTAAGTAAGTAAGTAAGTAAGCAAGTAAGTAAGCAAGCAAGCAAGTAAGTTAGTTAGATAGATTGATTAGTTAGTAAGATAGAGAGATGGATAGATGGATACATGGATAGATGGATAGATGGATAGATAGATAGATAGATCGATAGATAGATAGACAGACAGATAGATAGATAGATAGAATAATGCCATATAAAATAAAACCACAAGACGCAAACAATAAATGTTGAGCATGTCCTGTTCACGATAGGTTTTTTTCCTGGGGAGGAAGCCGCATGTTCACTGGTTGGAGGTGGCGTGTTTGTGCAGCCAGTGACAGGAGACAGCCCAAGAAAAAATACCCTTTAGTCATCGAACATGGCCGTGGAACATATTCACTTGTAGAAGATTTGCCATTAAGCAAGGCCGTTTTCCGTGGCGGTTTTTGGTTTACCAGATGGTATTTCATGGTTTCCATACCAATACCCCCTGCAAGATGGGATAGGGTCGATGAAGACCAGTGGAACATGCAGGTCCAGTCCTGGTCCTTTTCGTGAAGAACGACGCGATACGGGCGGCCGTGCTCAGAAGCCGCTTGGTAGCTGAGCAGTTGGATCCTCTAAAAGATGAAGGCTTAGCCGTTAAGTACTGCAGTTGAAGCAGGGGACAAACAACAACGCAGACTTGTTCCAGAGCAGTGCGAGCACCAGCAGCCCTCCAGCAACACTCTGAATTTGGTTTGTGGTTTTATGTGTGTTTAGTTTTTGAGTTTCGTGTCCTTCCTTCCTTCCTTCCTTCCTTCCTTCCTTCCTTCCTTCCCCTAGCATGGTTGATTAGTTTCAGTTGACCACCAGTTGCCTCTTTGGCGCCAACCACAATATGGTATGCCAAATGCTCGGCAGTTGGTATCACTGTTTCCTTGGGTTGGCATCACTATCATACTCTCATCTACCACCAAGTTTAATCAATTTTATGGGTGACAATATGGGAGTAGGAGTCAATTTCAGTCAGCCGTGGAAACTTGAAACGTCAAGACTCGATGGTTGTTTCATGGCAGAGATGTGGATACGATCGATCGGCACTTTCATTGTTGTGCCAGTTGTTTTTTGTTACCCATATCCCGGCCATCCCTGAGTATTTTTGAGGGGTTGCATTCCAGTTGATAAGTGGCTAACAACCATGTTATAATTGCTATAACGAACTAATAGGAGCAGTTATATTTGGTTTATAGCCCAGTTACTAAGTGGGATGTTCATCCAAGTACCGGTCATTTCTACCGCATACATATATCATACATTTTATATACCACGTATTGTTGATAAAATCCTTTGACTCGACTTTTTTGTTTGCCGAAGTGTATATATTCCCACAAGCCATTCGTTTTTGATTTAGTGATCCCAATCTTGTGCATGACACCCTATAAATGATATTTCTTGATGATCTCCTGATTTGTGGGTGGTTTCAAGATTTCACCTGATTGAAGAGCTGAACAGAAAATGCGCAGCGAGCAGTTCTTTCTTGAAAGCGAGTCTGGCATGGTCCACCCCTCTGAAGTGCGCGAAGGTTGTATCAATTGGACGGAGAAACTGTTGATGGGGTACGCTCATTTCATACGTCCTTCGTTCGCCGTAAAATGACATCCACATGCATAATATACGTTAGGTATATTTGTTATGTATGTGTGTCTGTGCTTGTGTATGCATTACCTAGCTTAAACTGTATAACAAGCAACAACTCTGTTGGCTGAAAATATGAAATCCACTGATAACAGCTGATAAGCATTGCTTTTTACCTGAGAGCATCTAGGATCATCAAAGATAGTGCCGCTCATCATCGTTAAAACCCATATGCAACCATAGATATCGAACAATTAAGATTAAAGCCCCCAGACAATCACCCGCTTTCTTCGTTTGAATTTTGTATATCTCATGCGTATCATTGTAGGATAATCATGCCACCTGATCCATTCAGCAAATTTTAGGTTAATCATCATTACTGTATAATGAACCGATCCTTAGTGCTCCAAATACACTTTGAGGTGTTTGGACCCCCAAAACCAACCCCACATACAGTCATACACAGTCTCGATGTTGGAGCTGTATAGGTTGTGATTTCAAGATATCAGAGGGAATTTCAGGATCCTAAAATGGAGGTACTACCGTATAAGGCCATATTTTCTGGGGATATCCCCTTACATAGCCCTAAAGAATGGGCCTTATATATGGTAGGTACCTCCAGTTTAGGTTCATGAAATGGCCATTGAAGATATGTTGAGTGACTTCAGCTATGCCCACAACCACTCCATCAGGTTTCGAGGATGCCGCCCAGGAAATTGCTGGCTTGGCTTGTGCCTTGAGCTGCTGTTTTGGCTGGAAAAAGATCCCAGATGGGGATGTGGCATCTCAAAAGGAGGTGTTTCACCCACCGACAGCACTAGAGATGGTGGTTTAATCACGAAGAAGTCTGATTTACTCAGGCGAAATTCAAATCAATATGCCTTGTTAAAGAAAAGCGGGTGCTGCGCCCCATCTCGTCTTGGATCGAATACATGTTCACCAAATTGTTCAAGGTGGGGCTATGCTTATAGTATGGACAGTGCCCCAAATACAACCTATCAAATCATTGTAAATTACACCAGGATTACAGTACTAGAACCCATTAATTAGAATCTATCATGGAAAGTCCTATGAACTAACCAGTATACAGAGTGACGATACCAATGAAAATCCTCATCTATGTCAAAAATCATCGCTATGAATCCGCATGTGGTGATCAAACGGCCTAAATTGGACCTTTCCGATTTGGCACAACCTGCCGGCGGTTGGCTCAGGTCTAGGCATAGTCCACTGTGACGATCAACCGGCAGTTTGTGCCAAGCAGAATGTGCGGAAAACTCCGTCGGTGATGCTGTATCCCACTGGAAACCGTGCCTTGGCGATCCCCCAGAGGTGATCAAAAATTGGACCAGCACAGCTGCAGTTACATTCACAGCTAGGGACTGATTTCATGGAAAAACAACATCTAAAGTTAATGTATACATTCATGTTCATAGAGGGAGAGGGTGATTTTGGGCTGAGATGCAACCATTCACTTTCAGCTGGATATCCGACTGAAGCACACACACGCGGACACACGCGCCGGTCAAATCCAGGAGCTGCCAGACTATACCGAGGCCGTTGCTTGGTTAGATGATGTGAGTTCCTGTATATTTTTGGTGATTTGAAGATACTCGATATCTTCTCCCACAATCTTAATGAAAGTGCCTGGCTATCCCCACTTCTTGGGGAGATAACGCTATACCGCTATACCATACCCATAAAATAACCCCAGCTGCGACCCCAAATTTTTAGTTGGTTTGTGACCCTATCTAACTCTCAGAGATGTATTCATTACAAACCGTTCACCTATAGTTACAAACAAAGTAAGCTTGGTTTGGGGGGCCTTCCTCAAGTGCGCATCCCTTTGCAAACTGAGGTCTGTCTGAAGAAGGATTCACGGCTGCTGTGGCTCCTTGGCTTGCATTGGCCGTTCTCTGGTGGATAGTTGAAATTCGAACCAGCAAAATGGTGGCTTGAGCAGCAAAAAATGGGATGAACCTTGGCTTTTTGAAATTAGGTGTGCAGCTTGGATTGATGCTTGAAATGGTAATGCAGTGTTGATTCACAGTGAGATGTGATTCTTCTTTTGTGTGAGTGTGGGGATTGTTAAATGTCTTCAGAGGGGGAATGTGTGTTTCATTGTGTTTCCATTTTGGGGATAATGGCTTTGACAGGACTGATATTTGTGCGGCAGCAACCGCAATACACAAATGATGATGGATTTTTCTCGAACAGCTGATGTGAAGGATGTAGCTGGCCCCATTGGCCCAAAAGAGTCCAACAGACTTTACACGTGCCACCATTGGCGCTTTCCCTACTTTGACTGGTCAGGGGTAGAATGTACTTGCCAGTGACCCTGCCTGCCTGGACCACACGAGGCCCAGATGATCGGTTTCAACGATCGCACTGTGCACTTGACTCATAGGTCTCTGTCCGAATTCCTTACAGGCCAGGCCCAGATAGGCGAGGGGAACTTTGGTTTTCTTTGGGCAGGGCATCTAACATGTCTGGTTGGTGGTTTGGAACATGATTTTTCCCATATATTGGGAATAATCATCCCAACTGACTTTCATATTTTTCAGAAGGGTAGGTCAACCACCAACCAGATGTGATAAGGACAGGGCGTCAATGAAAGCTGTGTGAACCCCTTGCCTTGATGCATCCAATTGGTGAAGTTGGCCGACAGCAATGTGAATCTCCCGGTCCTCCGTGGGGAATTGGCATAGATTTCCTGCCCCAAAAAAGTGCCTATTGTTTTTGTCAAGCAGTACATCTCCCCATTTTCCGGAGGTTCAACCATGTTCACCGTCGACTTGAACTAGTTTGAACATGTTTGAACTTTTACAATCTTTTACACCTCATTGATTAGAAACACGCTTAAGCCACCCAACTTCAAGGACGCACCCGGCCCATCAAAGTCTTACTCTTCTCGCGTCGTCCGCGGACTCCTGTGATCTTTAAGGTGCGGGGCCCTGGGAAACGGCAGCGGAAGTCTTGAATTACAGGGGTACCCCAAATCATCCGGAATTAGACTATTTTAGTATTGAAACCCCTTAGTGCTTGAAATTCTTGATAAGGGTGCACTTTCAATGCAAAAGACTCCTAGGATAGTGAGTTGGCCGCAGTTTTGCAACCGCACATCTTTGCATTCAATAGCGGCAATGTGCCCTACCTAAGGCTGCTGGGTTGGTTGGGAATGCTCACCCCTTTTTGATATCATACAGCTGTTGGCATTTGACTCGAAAACCTTGGTTTGATTCAACGGACTGGTTTGGGTGAAACATCTGGAGAAACTACAGGAAAACAATGCATGCTGCCTACAGTGTTCATGTGTATATATATATATAGAGAGATTCAATACTTGAACACGATGCTTTCCAAACATGCCCTCCAGAGGTGAGGACCCCAAGGAACCCAGGGGCTCCACCTTTCCCAAGGCCTTGTCCAGTGATGCGGAGTTGTGGCCACATATGGAGTTCGGATTCATACCCGAGGCGTCGCGCACTCTGGTTGCTTTAAAAGAAAGGATGTGGGCCCAACAGATCAACCCAAAACCAAGGGATACTTCAAACTGCGTGTGGTGTTGCACGGAGGAATCACCGCGAATCGATCGAAACCATTGGGACTTTGTGGCACATTATTAGCAGATAAACTCAATTTCTGCTTGGCAAATGCCTGAAGCAGTGGAAATGTCCGCAAGACTTTTGGCATGTTCATTCCGTGGCACAACTTGTCAACTTTCTGCTGTGTCATGATGCATTTTAAAGTAGACTTGATGCCTTCAATCAGTTGATATCCGTTAAACCGCTGGCATCATGACAAAGCACCCAACCTGAGATGGCAGCACAGCCCTGCAGGAAGTTGACAATGCACGGAATCCCTTGCCGCTTTGTCATGTGAGCAGTGGCCAAGCCTTGGTCGACTTGGGTTGATCTGATCCTTAAGATGAAAGATCAAACTTCAGTGAGCTTTGTCCATGGATGTTGGGATGTTTATTTGATGTTTATGATACTGGAAGCATGTTGTTTTTGATCCTGGATGTCCGGGTAGGGAGACCCTGAGTCTTTGACAAGGGCGTGGGTGTTGCGTTCTTGTCATCAAGCATCTTCTCTGTTGCACAGGTTTCAAGGGCCGGGCGCCGTGCGATATTTTAGGAAATAGGTGCCCTTGACAAAAGATCGTACAGGCAATTTTGAAGGTCAACAATGCAAAGTTCTCCAGAGTGTCCACAACATTATGGTGGTTCCCGCGCAAGAGCAAAATTCAGGAAAATATCTATTTATATGTTTGCCTATCTACAGTATCTATCAAAAAAAAACTTTGGCTTTTCCTCCGGCCACAAGCCCTGGGCCTTTGGAAGTTTGTTTGCATGAGGTGCCCTGCCCGAGGTTGGATGCCTACAACATCGAGACAGTGCCGCAGGTCACGGTGCAATACGGCCCGGACCTCTCCACCAAGCAGACCTACGCAAGCACCGATATCACTTACCCGGCCCTCAAGGCTAGATGACCAGTGGGGGCTGTTGGTTTGATCGGAAAATATATGGGCTGATTTTTGAGAAAGACGCCTGGAAACAACAATGCTTTCATCATCATTTGATAACAAAATATATGACTATTTGGGTTTCTGCGATGTTCCCCGCATGCCAACTCTAATAGTTGGATTTTTGGGGAGACGCTTGCATCCTGCATATACTGCAGGGAGATCCTTTGGCCAGGAGTGGTTGCTTGCCCGTCGTGCAGAGTTCTGGTTGGGGAGTCCGCTGTGGCAGGAGCAGACAAAGTCACTGCACATTGACTCAATATGCAGTGCAAACCCCTTAAGATAAGGGGTCTACCAAACTCTTTCAGGAACATTTATATTGTAATTGTCGGACTAACATGGATTAACATGGAATAACATGAATAGTAAGATAGACCTCTGGCAGGCAATCTGCCAATGCAATGAAAGATGTCCCTTCATAGTCTTCACGGGTGATGCGTTTGGCCGTTTTAGCTTGCTAGATGGCTTGGCCGGTTTGAAGTATGCCCCGCGTTTTGCTTGCGAATCCCGGATGATCATTGTGCTAACATTGGATGACCAAGCCCGAGCTCAGCAAACGCGAGGATACAGAGGATAGATGTTTGTGCCTTCGATTACCTTTCGGAGATCCAAATAGTGCTCGTTCCACCAAAAGGTGCCCTGTGATAATATCACAAAGTTATGGATAGTTCCGTTCTTTTACATCACTGTTCCTATCTATCAAACATTGGCTCCAAACGTTGTGTCTCCTGATAGTAACTGAAGGACTCCCTTGGAGTCTTTGAGTTCCAACACTGGCCTTTTTGACAAGTTTGTCATGTTGCGTTTGATGTGACACATGGGAATAGGTCAATACCGGTTCAACAAGATATTTAATAGGTGGAACAGCATCCATGAATCCCAGCTATTTTGATGTGACAATAAAGGGGTCGATGGGCCGATGGGTTTTGATTCGCAGTCAAATGTCTTCGTCTTCTTGAAACATACCCTCCGGGAATTTAAAAGTTTGCTGTGGCGAGGGGCCTCTCTGGGAGATGTTCCATAGGTGTTTTGTGAATTTTATTTCAAAGCGTGGATGAATTCACCCATGAAACATGGTGGTTATGATTTAACATAAGTTTTCCCTGGTTTTCCAATGTTTTCCATAGGTTTTCCAATGGTTTTCCATTGGTTTCAATGGTGCTTTTCCATGTCCACCAGCTTCACCAATTTCAGTTTCGCCAGGAGACCACCCCGGAAGAGCCCGAAGCCTTGCTGGACGATACGCCTGACAGCAACTATGAAGTCCTGGCCCCAGGACGGTCTCAGGGTGGAGAGACGTCGTGGTGTCGGAAAAAAATGGTGGGAAGGGGGATGCTCTATATAGTCTGGTTGGTGGTTTGGAACATGAATTTTATGACTTTCCATATATTGGGAATTTCATCATCCCAACTGACTTTCATATTTTTCAGGGGTTGAAACCACCAAGTAATAGTCATACAGTCATGCACATGGAGATGCATACATTCTATAGCGCTTCATTCCGCCCAATCCTCCGAGAAAGAAACACGTGACACATATGGAATAAAAAAACATATTGTATGGGGTAAGAAATTGGATCCAACCGAACGGTGGATTGTTTACCAACCGCATTCATACGCATGAAAAAATCAAGAGACATGGGGATGCTTCACTAAGAAAGTGGAGGACAACCAACAAACAAATGGATGAAAGACCATTGACAGGGGCATCACATGGCATCACCAAGAATATACAATATACTTAATATAACTAATTTGTTGGTGTTATAACCACAGTACAATTTCATTTTGTGTTCCGTCCCAAGCTGGCCTGGGTGCAATTGATGATTGGATGGGTGGAAGAAACCGCCCAGCATTTTTGGGATTCTGACACCTGGCTTGGGGTGACACATCGAGAAATCATGAGCAAAGGTGTACACCAAAAACAAAAGCATAAAAGTACATCAAACCCAGTCAAGTGGCATCATACAAAGCCTGGGGCCGTGATTGCTGAGACCTTTGAACATTTGGAACATGATCAGGCAATCCCACATCATCCGCAAACATTGTCAGTTCGCCTGATTTCTGCAGTACAACTAGCCCTGTAATGTTTCTTGGAAAAGATGCCATAAGGTGCCATAAGGTGCCATAAGGTGCCATAAGGTGCCATCAGAGGCATGGTTTTTCCCCAAACGCTGGCTCAAATCTACCCCTACGTTCCACCCCGGATGCCACCCCCGTTGGCACAAAACAGGAACGAAAGGCTGCCCCACTGACCTGGAGATCAAGTCAGCGCCATGGTGGCAATGGCTGGCGAGATACTGGTGAGGTAACATAGCCATTGGTTGGTAGATTTGGTATGATTTGGTTCTCTATGAACAGTTTCAATCGGAGTTTCTGATCCTGGGGCCTCCCTTTTTTCATGATTTGTCTTCATTTCTGTTGGTGGTTTTTCTCAAGCTATCGCGCAGTTGAGAGAGAGAGAGAGAGAATCTAAGTTCCCAGCTGCTGGAGGTAGCACAGTCCTTTCGATGCTTTAGTAGACACTGCAACTCTGTTGTCCCTTTGTCGGGGAAAAAATATTGGAGCTTCCCTTATGTCCAGCTGGTATATAATTGAAGTATTTCTGGTGGATTTTCTTGACCTTGTAACTCCGTGACACCCAAGGTCTCAGAGTGTCAGACAGCTCTCAAAGAGCTTGGAATGGACGTGGATCCCCGATGGGTAGCTCGGCGTTGAGGTGCTTCATGGGTTTACAAACCTTGGCCGAGGGCAGTTTAATGGCCAATTGCCGCTTTACTTTTCTGGTTGGTGGCTGGAACATTTTTTATTTTGTCCATATATTGGAAATAGTAACCCCAGCTGACTAATATTTTTCAGAGGGGTTGAAACCACCAACCAGTTTTGATTTATTTTGAAAAAAACATTTCCCTGTTTGAACCAATTTATGTGTCCAGATTGTCTAAGATTAGAAAAATGTTGCCCGCATACTGACTGTTCTATCCGGAGGGGAACCGTTTTCTTCAATCTTAGGTCTTAGGTCCTCAGCCATATTTGCAGCTGTTTGCATCCGGTGGCTGCTTCTCAAGATGCGGGTCGCCTTCCAAAACAGGCACCATAGATGATACGTCCCATGACCCCATTCAAACGAATGGTATGGAGTATGGCACCGAAATTGGTAAATCATTCGCTTTCTCACCGCAGATGAATCTGATTGGATTTGTTGTTTAACACCCCCCTCATCATTGGAGGTTTATAGCGTAGAGGTGCCGGTGCCATGCTATAGACTTCCGACAAGAGATTAATTGCACAACATAATATGAATGGAATTCTTGCGAAATTGGCAGGTGGTTTACCATAGTTTACCATAGTTTACCATTCATCGCATGGTTCATTTCCCACGATATCCCATGTACTCAACAGCGGTTTGTCCACCTCCAAGGTTTCCAACTACCCAGAGTTGCCCAGCAAATGCTCGGTACGCGAATCCCCCAGTGCCGAACATCCGGACCCAAGGGGCGTTTTTTCTCGCAGCTGCCAGTGTGACTCAAAATAAAGATAAACAGGGCAGCAAATGAGGTATTTGGAAAAAGCCTTCGACGGATATATAGTAAACTGCGAAATTGTTTGCGAACCCAAGTTGATACTAGCTGAAGCCGGCTAATTCATAAGTGACTGCGTTCAAAAAAGTAGCTTGATTGATTCAAGAATGACCTCCTGGATGTAGTTGAATTGGATCTTTCAATGTCCAGAAAAGTTTCTTGTTGCATCACTCCCACCAGTTGGCTTGACGCGTTCAGTATCAGAAATGTCTTGCAAAAAGAACATATATAACAAATCAATACAAAACAACCATTCACAAAATCCTCATGGGTTCTCCTTCCTTCGAGCGGTCCAGAACACTGATGGTATGCCACCACTTCCCGGTGGGCCAACCTTGAGTAGCTAGTTGCGATAAAAGGGAGGATATATTGATCTAGCCGGCTAAGCTTTCAGGGTATTTAAGAACAAATTGTTTACAGAGTATCTAAGATTCTAAGATTCAGTTGGCATATGTACTTCTAAAAAAACTTTATTTGTTTATTTATTTATTTACTATCTATTTATTTGAACGCCTTTTTTGTGATGTGCCACGTCCTGGTGACTTGTCAGGAGAGGATGCACTTCAACTCCTTTGTTGGTGGAGCTGGTCGCCAGGATCTCTCACCTGTTTGTGCCGTGTCGTCCATACAGGGTTGGGAGATTGGATCTTTGTGGTGATTAAATACGGCCCTGGAACACTGGAACTTAATGGAAAATCGTCGCACAAACAGAATGTTTCTTTCAATGTGGATGTCTGTAGACAGGATGATGCGGGCATCTGCCATTTCATGCTAAATGATGGTTTTCGATGGACTTTGCTTGTTGCCTGCAGGGGCCAAGAGGGCTAGACCAGCAACATCGTGCTTGGATGTGGTTGCTCCTGTTTTGCCGGCACTTTTTCCCAGTCACGCTCAACTTTAATGAAAGTTGTTGTGGTAATCGAAGGATGAACCCTCGTATCCTTGCATCGAAGCCGGCTTCAATAACACGACAGCAATGCATCGTGCTGTGTGCACAATGGTACGAAGTACTTCATCACTTTACCAAGCAGCAATCATCATTTATGATGCTATGTCAATGTCTCTGTCATTTTCGTTCAGATTTGTCACACACAATCAACATTATATAAACGACATTAAATTATATAAATCCCAAACTGTCCACTACACTGTTCACTAAAGAAAAAACATAGGAACTACATTCAAGTATAGAAACATGGTTTGTACCTGAAAGTTGTCCCGATCTTCACCAAGTTTTGCCCTACCAACGTCCCCTTGGGCCGAGGCAAACGCCCGGGGGCCGCCACCAGCGCCAGCAGCGCCGCGGCTAGCGCGGCCAGCACGCTGAGCGCCGCGATGCGCGGCGCAGAGGTGCAGGAGATCGACATCTCGTCGTTGCCACAGCCACTTGGTCAACGTCGGATGGGGGATTGGATGAGACCGGGCTTGTAACATGTTGTAACTAAAGTGGTGGGGACGCATTAGTAGGTTTGATTAGTTGGGTTTATATGTTTATACACAAATGGATATATATATATATATACATATGGTCAGAAGGCGTCTTTTAACCATATTTACACTGATATTGTAGTATTCTAAAGTTACTTCATGTTTTATAGCACATATGACCGAAAGTAAGTTGAAACTAGCGTGGTATATACAGTTTATAGCTAAGATATTCGATACTGTTTTCTATAGTCAGCTGGGGGTTCATAAACCGACTATAAACCATCTTTGGTGAGATGGTGATGTGTATTTGATTTTAGTAGATGGATAGAGTCCGGATAGAGCGACAAAGAGAAAAGAAGATAGATATATAAGGAGATAGATAGATAGATAGATCGATAGATAGATAGGTAGGTAGGTAGGTAGGTAGGTCGATGGATGGATGGATGAATGGATGGATGGATGGATATATGGACGGATGGATGGATGGCAGGATGGATGGATGGATGGATGGAAGGATGGATGGATAGGTGTATGTATGTAGTTTAATGTAATTTAATGTACGGTCATGTCATGTAACGTAGCGCTACACAACGTAACGTAAGCTTTTTTGTAACGTAATGTAGCGCAATGTAACGTAATGTAATGTAATGATGTATAGTGATGTAATGTATGTAGGTATGGTATGTATACCATGCGAGCTATGTATGGTATATGATATATGTTGTGTATCTTTTCTGTTGTTCAATACACAGGTATGTATGGTGTATCCATGATATCTATCTAAGATATGTTTGGCATGGTGACATGGGATGGGACTGGATGGGATGTGATGTGCTGTGATGTCATGCATTGTATGTGTGTATAACCAGAGGTGATGATGATGACGACGATGGTCATGATCATGATCATGATCATGATGAATAATATGATTATGATGATGGTGATGTTGATGGCGATGGTGATGATGATGATTATGGTGATGATGATGATGATGATTGTCATGATGATGATGATAATAATAATGATAATGATGCTGATGATGCCAATGACAATGAATATGATGATAATGAGGATGATGACGATGAAGATGAATATTAATAAAATGATGATGATGATGGTGGTGGTGGTGATGATGGTGATGGTGATGGTGATGATGATGATGATGACGACGGTGATGCTGATGCTGATGGTGGTGATGATGGTGACGATGGATATGATGATTTTGATTACAGCTCCATTTTTTGCGGTGGGAATTTCTGATTACAGCTCCATTTTTTGAGGTGGGAATTTCTGATACAGGGGCCCTGGCAGCCCAGGCAACTGCAGAACATGTTGCAAAATCTGGATCTCAACAGCGCAGCTGAGATAGACCTGGATGACCTCATGCGTTTCTTGGATGAGTGGAGGGAATGGGCAGCAACGAAAACTGCCGTGGAACGTTGATGTTTGATGTATTCTGGGTGAAAAAGGTGGGTGTTGTGACGATTCTTTGCAGAATTATACCTGGATGTGGTTTATTGTTGAGGCGCAATCAGGTCTTGAATTTTCTTCCGGATTGTTTTGCCTCCTTTTTTTTCACAAGGTTTCTTTGTGCAACGAGGCAAATTGGCTGGGAACCTGGCCACCAAGTCCAAGCCTAGGGCCGAGGTCAAGGTGAATGCCGAACCCAAGGCGAGGGTTGCGTCTTGTTTGGGGGGTAAAACGTGGGTAGAGGGCTATAATTGCAGGGGTTTTATTCAATATGAATTTATGTTTGCCATTTTATATTATGGAATATTCCAGTTGAATAATCATATCCATATGGTGATTCTCCAATTTATGGAATGATTGCCATGTTTTCTCACAATGAACCAAACAATTTTCCCCAAGTGGTATTCATACCAGTGAAAATTGGGATGTTGCTGAAGGGAAAAAAACGGTGTGGGTTAAACCAGGACAACATGCGATTGCTGGAGGATTAATTACGTTCACCTCCCTGGGGTTTGTTACCTGCAGTCCGGCTGGATGATTTTTTGTTGGATATGGGTTCATATGGGGCGTCCTAGTTTTTATTTCGTTTGTCTATCTAGTTTCTTTATTCCTCGCATCTGCAGTTTCCAGCCGACAATAGATAAGCGTGCCATAACATCGAGGTTCCCTTGGCAGGCCACCAGCACTGCCGCGAAGCAGCAATACGTCAAACTGCCGGTGGGTGCCAACGGTTGCCCCATGGGCTCCGAAATCTTGACCTTCGATGAGTGCAGGCAACTGGCACGGGTTTCTGTGGTCATGCTCGTAGGAGCAAGGGAACAATGCTATTACGAATTGTATTGGCATATTCTGTTCTTGTTTAGCATGTCTCACCTCCATGAAGCTTCCAATTGTGAAACATCCATATTTGCAAACGATGTAAACGATGTAAACATGTGTGATCTATGTGTCACCGACTTTCAGCATAGTTGTGCTGGTCTCTCTTGCGGTATCAAACCCTAAACTGGTAAATTCAATATTCACTGCTTGGTGGAAAGACGTTTGGGAGGTCGTGAGTAGTGACGTTGTAGGGTTGTGGCGTCTAACAGAAATAAAAGGCTGCCAAACTCCACTAAAATGGTGTTTTAAGTTCGCATATTTTGGATGAATGAAACCTTATCATAAGCTATGATGTAACCGCCTGTGTGCCATTAAAAGAAAACATGCACCGTTTCTGACAGGGACCATGCAAGATTTTCTTCCATAGTGGGTTGGTTGCACGGTTTGTCCCTTGATAGCTCAAACCATTCAGAGTTGGACACAGAATGAGGTGTCTGCTGTTGTTTGAGGCTGTTTACATCTTGGGATTTCAAGCCTCATCAGCAAAACAGCAAGAAGGACAGGGACATCTACGTGCAACTCCTTGAATTTCTTTTACATTGTTTTTAAACATATCATAGCAGTAAATAGCGGCTCCCATGCACTTTCGCAGGCAAGCGATTTTGTCGCTGGGATTAAAGCCAGATCCGTATTGGCAGCTTGGCACCAGCAGATGGCTTGGGAGAGACCCTTCGGCAGACCAACATTGCTGAAAAAAACACAAAATCACAATTCAAGAGACCACTTCTTTGGAGATACCCTCTGGTAAACAAACATAGCTATTGAAAATGGCCATAGAAATAGTTGATTTACCCATTAAAAATTGTGATTTTCCATAGTTTTTTGTATGTTTACCAGAGGGTATGGTTTGCTGATTTCTTTGCCTTTTTCGGATGTGGAAGATTGGGAAATTCTTGGCCAATGACGGAAATCGCTGGGAATCGCTACCGGTGAAACGGGACAATGTGTAGACATGGCCTTGGGTAAGCCTTCCGTACGGTCGTTTTTATACAATACTTAGAAGCATGTGCCATAGAAAAATTGAATATACATATATATATATGTATAGATATAGTAACCCGGAGAAGAAAAAAAGACATAGACAATAAATCTGGCATCATTTAGTAGGCTTTATTTTGATATTTTGTGTCTATATTTTTGGGGCTTGGCAAATGGGTGCACATCTCATGGCCCCAAAATAATGGGGCAATCATAATAGCCGTGGACTCCACGTGGACCTGGCGCACCCAGGACCAGCAGTTACGAGGGTTTGCCCCGGCACTGCTCCCTGCGCGAACGTCCTGGCGAGGGTATCGGCTTGGCAACTCAGCCGCGTTTGTCAAATCCCCGCGGGTGAACATGCCGGACGTGGTCGTCACGTGATGTCACGCGGTCTACCGCGAAATTATAAAGGTCGGATTTGGTCAACACACAAGTTCGCGAACAAGTTATCACTCTCTTGTTCAAAGATAAGTTATGTATAATTCCGATTGCAGATTGCAGATGGGATAGCCATGGAGGTCCCAAGCTATTTATTCCTTACTAGATCAAATGACGGTTTACGGGACCACGCATCAAGTCAAGTGAAGGAGCCCTTAGCATGGTCAAGATATTCGCCTGGGTCCAAGGAACGCATGCACTTTAATACGGCCAATCGTGGCAGCGGCCGGGACGACCTGGCACCCATCTGTCGCAAGGGACAGCGTGGAGCTGGATGGATGAAGTGACCAAGTAGTGGTATCTCAGATTGTCTAGGCATTTCGAGGATTCCTCTACTATTATTGTAAAAAATAAATGCCTACTGAAATGATTACTTCAATATTTCATGTTAAATTGTTGTTTAAATTTAATTGACCTGTCTCTTTTTGTATAATAACTACCGTGTTTAAGACGTAAGAAGCGAGTCTAAATCCTGACATACTATCTCATCAGTGACCTTCAACAGGTTGAAAGACTTAGTGTGCATTCAGAATGCCATGAATACCTTGGATGGATACTCATATATAATTCTCACTTGTCCTGCCGCAACGGGGACATGTACAGTGCTTTACCTAAAAATAGTTGGTATCTTACGGATTTAGGGTGAGAAGGGCAGCAGAAATGCTCCATTTTGCCACATTGCTTTCAGGGGCGGCTTTGACTGGCCATAAATATTTTATTTGAATAGAAAACATATATAATTATGTATAGGTAGGTAGGTTAGCAGAATAAATATGCATGAATTTTGCCACGACAACATTCATTTGACACATTGGGATCTGCAGGACAGACTCCAAGCATTGAAGCGACATCCTCAAAGAGCAAAAGTCAACAGAGACAGCCTGAAACTGGACGGCTCGATGGGATGTTTGTTTCCAGCTTAGCCTTATAGTTAGTTCCTTTGCTTCGGGCTTGTAAGGATTCAGCCAGAAGTGCAGTAACAAACAAGTTGAAAGGTTTGTGAACCCTCCAAAATGCAAGTTGAAAGGTGGTGGGGTGCTCGTAGTGGGCTGAAGGGCGTGTGATCCATCACTGTTTGACAGTATTACAACTTTCTTTCAGCTGGGTAGTTTGTCCTTCTGGAAGCTGCAGCGATCCAAGACTGGTGGTCACTTCGGGGGCTGCCTGGATGTTCCTGTTCCATGCTGGTAGCAACATGAGTGGCATGACATGGCCCCCATATATCGTTTAACGTTGCCTTTTGAATTTCATTATAACATTTGTATTTATATTTATGAATATGTATATAAACACTACATGTTTTTGGCAGGTCCGGCAGGTTTAGTTTTGCTAGAGGGCACTAGAGGGCATGACTTTTGAATTAACCAACACCCTCGAATAAATATCCTCTAACCTTGCAAAGGAAAAGAAAAAGGGAAGTGCCTTGACTGCAGCTGAGTAGCTCAACGTTGGCTGCTGCCCAATTTCTTCGTGGGAGGTCTTGGGCTTGCTACCATGGGCTCCCTCCAAAACTTTTGATGGACATTCAGTTCTTCACAAGGGTGCTTCCATACATACAAGGGAGAAGTTTGCCCGAACCAGAAAAGCTGTATTATACCACATGGTTCCTAATTCCATTGCATCAACCTAACTGCCCCAACTTGTCTCTTGCTCTTTGGGACGTCCAGCCCAGCTCCTGCAGCCATGCCCCTTGCTAGTGGGTCAGGTGTGGCGAGTGAGACCTCGCCAGTCATTCAAGAGCTGAACATCATGTCGCAGCAGAGGCTCTTGAACAGAGATTCTCTGACAGAACTAGTCGTGGAGGTTTTGGGGAGCCATCAAAGAAGCTTCGGCCGGGAAGAGTCTCCCCACATCCATTGTGCAGCCCTTCGCAGCTGACCTGTCCTTAGAGTTCCCGAGTAAATGGGTTGTCTGACCCCATCCCACGGTGACACGGAACGACCCCAGTGGAATCCCTGCGCCGCCAAGGACAAGTTCTATTATTTAGTGTACATGACCAAGGGTGGCTTGACCAACGCAGACGAGAGCATGCTGCTGGATGTCAAGGATCACTTCCAGCAACGACTGGACGAGCGAGGCGTTCTGATGGACTTGCTCTGGCTCGAAGCTCGTTTGTTTCAGGGGACTAGTTCAAGTCTTAAGGCCATGTAGTGCTGGGAGGTATGTCGCTGTAAGTCACCCTTGATGGTGGGCAATGATTTCTGGAAAAAAAACATATGTACGAAAGCACTCTTGGAGAAAATTGGGATTGCTGAAAGTTGATTCTTAGATTTGCATACATTTGCCAATTTGCCGTGTTGCTGTTTGAATTCTGCCAGGTAAACAAAAGTCAATGCCTCCCAGTTCATCACATGCTCGGTTCTAGACCTTTCTCTCCCAAACGATTTCTGGCTATGTCTCACTTCACCTGATTGATAATGCTATTCTCCAGGCCCATTCTTGCCTTGAAAGCGCGCAACTCTTCTGGGGACATCCATCCTGTTCCATGCAATGTTGTAAACGCCGCAGTGAGACACGAATACACCTGGCCCAATTTGGTATGCTGCAAACTGTGTAGAATACAAACGTTGCAGCAGTAGCATTTACAAGTTGTTAGACTTTGAAATCTCTTTCCCTCAAGTGGATTCAACGGGTATACGTCATTCATTCCCATTCATTTTCATTCCATATGCCCAAGCAATGTATAGAATAGAAATTGCTACAATATCTATCAATTCTGGTCAATATCATGCAATTAGAATCCATTTAGAATCCATGTCCATCGAACATGTAGCATCTATCTTACATTTAGAATCCATTTCGAATCCATTTAGCATCCATTTAGCATCATACTGTGGATGGGCCAGCGAAATCCTGCACCACTTTGAATGGTTGAAACATGTTGAAACCTTCAAAATAACGGGATCAACTAACAACCTGCCATCAACTGGTGCAGGATTTCGCAACCATCATCCCCCAGGACTTGAGTATCGAGCGGCAGCTGAAGATCCTCTTGGACCCACCCGCGCTCCCATCCGCCATGGTGCTCCGAGGCATGCAGCGGTCCAATGGGACAAATCCTCCGGTAACTTATATGGTTTAGGTGACTTTTAGGTAAGTGACTTAAGTGATTTAAATAAATTAAAGGATCTAAGACAGCAAACTTTAAGTAAGTCATAATGGTGACTTTATAGTGACTTCATCTTGACTTCAGCTGACTCATCATGCCTAATCACAAATGCTTCATTCGTGAATAATCATATCTAGCTATTTTACATTGTAATATTGCGATGGTGTGCAATGTTTTTTTTTGCGAAGACGTGGCTTGCAGAAGTCAAGCGAGTCATTGTGCGATAAAATGTGGCGATGTGATGTCGGGGAGGGCACAGCAGGGTGAATTTCAGGTGGTGGCCAGCCCAAGTTCGTGTTGGCTCACCACAGAGAGGAAGATGAAGAAGCAGTCGGAGTAAAGGAGGAGGAGCCGGCAGAGTGACCAAGGTTTGCCAATCCCCCAACAAACATAGGAAAAACATATTAAAAATGGAATTGATGATTTCATCATGTTTCATCAGACCAAGACTTGGCACACTTGGCGGAGCTCTACTCTTTGGGGTTTACGACACTCTCACAACTTGCTTCGAGGACATAATCCTTTTGGTCAACAAGGTCTTGGGAGATGAAGCCAGGCGATGTCCATTCCGTTTTTGTTTAAAGCCTCTCTCCATTTGCCAGTTGTTTCTCTTCTCCTCCCATGTGACGGAGCTTTACTAGACATCGATTCCTAATGTTCCTGAGGGTTTGCTGATTGGAGTTGTACTCTATGAACATCCGATAACAAGTGTTTCTCTACTACTCAACCATATAAAACCACACTAAACCCATTAAACCCCAGCTTTGCTATGTAAAATCCGCAGGTTCCAGCGCCTGAATGCTAAGAAGTTGGAAATGGCATGGACCAAGAGGGGCCCAGGGGGCTGATTTCGATCCCGTCGACCTCAGCCGAAATGGCCGCAGCGGACGGTGTGGCGTGTTTTCCGAGGTCGTCATTGTGATGTTCTCATGACATGTTCCATGAAGAAATGCCCAAAAAAATGATGTTTGTTATGGCCGGAAATACCAATTATAAGTGGTGAAATAACTGTTTTGATGTTTCTTGGGACTATACATTCCATAAATGGGGTGACTTTGTACTTATAATTGGTAAAGGGCCATAACTGTATGTTTGTTCACCTACCCGCACACCTGATATGTCTGTGCGTACGCCTTAAGGGCAAGAAGGGGTCCACATGTCAAGGTTTGATTTTAACCTTCAGCAACCAAACCCTACAGCGTCTGGCAACTGCACGGCAAAGAATTATGTTTTCATGCACCGTGGTTCCATTTAGTCTCTGCTATCAGATCAGTCCAGAATTTGCCCTCTGGTAGATTAACATAGACCCTGAAAACAACAATTTTCGAGTGGAAACTAATCTTCCAATCCCTATTTGCCAGGGTCCATGTTAATTTACTGGAGGGTGGGTGTTTTTTTTGGGAAGGTGCTTCTCATGTTTCCCTCCTGTCACCGGCAGGCTGCGCGTCCGGAGGATGTCTGTCAGGCCGGGAGCTGTTTCTGGCTATGGCGTGTACACCCAATTACTAGGTGGGATTTTATACACAGCGCACACAGAGATATATACTATATAATTATATACATATATATATATGTATAATATTGTTCGTGTATCTTCGTATATATTTATGTATGTTTATGTAAATATTTAGCAATCCAGTGGTACATGCATGGAATATCCCCTGTAACTGTGCGGGCTATAGTCAGGTACAGTCACAGTAAAAATAAACCACTCACCAACTGCTGCCGAGCCATCCCGATGGTAGGGCGCCCTTGGCAACTGCTGGTTCGCTGGTGCCTTGAGTGTTGGTGGAACCCAGTCAACGGCCAGTTGGTACCTTTGATTAGCATGAAACCCGAACAAACTGGGTCTTACAGATTGTTCTAGTGGGAAGACAGGCAACGACTTGAACTCCATTGAAATCCATTTACGGGCTGCATAATTTGAGTTTTCACGGGTATACCATGCTTGGTCCTACAATATGTTTGGGAGCCTACAAGCCAGGAAGGGTGAGGAAAAGCCTCAAGTTAACGGAGCCCATCAGGGTTGATCATCATGTTCCCCATATTTCTCATTAAGTCTTGACTAATTTTGCTTGGATATTTTTGGTCGAACCCAGATGCCTTTTTGCGCAGCTTCTGGACAAAGTCGGCCCCAAAAAAGAGCCGACTTTGCACCTGTTGGAATCGAGGTTGTGGCGCAGCTGTGGGGGAGCCCGGGACAGCATAAGACTATACAATCCCTCAAGCCATTTCAAACTAAGGACTATGATGATCTATGATGAAATATGGTTCAACTTAGTTTTTACGCATGTGACGTATGAGTTGCTTGGTGTTCCATGCTGATGCCCAAAGCTGCCAGGCAGATCCCATTGAAAGCCCCCCTACCGAGGCCGCAACTCATCGACCGCATTTGCGTCACCAAGGAGGGTCTGAAGAAACAAATTCTTTTTTTTTGGCAGCGCCTGATTAGGACGTAGCCGTGCCTTCGGTGATATATGAAGAGATGTGAAGTGGCTATTCCGCCCCCCATAAACATGTCATTTCCAATGTCCCTGCGGAAGATTTCCTTCGATATCCCTCAATGAACTCGTTGAACGTCCCGCTCGCCGTCCATCCCATGCGCTCGGCTCAAAGTCCCAGAACGTCACATGGGTGTGGAGGCAAGACGGCTTTGAACATCTTGGAGGATGTATATATCTTTCCGTATCCACAGGGCAGCCCAGTAGATGGATATAAGTTAACATTCAGGAATTGCATTGCCTATTGCCCACGTATTCCTTAAAATGCCCAGGTGCTATCAGGTGCCGGTTGTCAAGTCCAGGGAAGAGCAAATGTTGGTCATTGTTTCTTTCATATCAACTTGACTTTATGATCTTTATGAATCTTTATGAACCATCATGACCCGTGCCAAAACCATCCAAATCAATCGAACAAAGTGATCTTCGGGCTGTGTGGAAGTCATATCCTGTGGATAAATTACAATGATGTCACTAAAAATGATGAGGAAAACTAGGGCTAACTATCCAAACTATCCAAGAAGGCTGATCTTTTCAGCTTGGTGAACACATATTATTATACACTATGAAAATTCAGCCTGCAGATCTATGTTCAACTCTGCCATTGGTTTGGAGGAGTATTCATTTGCAGTTTTCAATGCCAACTGGCTGATTTATGACTAAGGCGTGCAGCATGTTTTTTCACAGATCCTTGCTGTAGGACTTGGAACATGCGTGGCTGAGAGATCCATCTCTTGATACATGTATAGCGAAGTGCCGCGAGTTCATGACGCAGGGAAATTGATTGGAAATGGTGTGGAGCTTCCTTTCGGACCTTTGCATGGAGAGCCCTGGGGGATGCATTTGTCGTGCTTGTGATTTCGACCTAATTTGACTGTCTACGAGATATATACTGTCGTTATTCATATTGTATAATATTATATACATGATTCCTTTTTCGGATGAACTGTTGATCCGGAGATTTACCTCTCAGAAATGCCTTCCATTTTCCTTTTTGGATCAGTTCATCGTTTGGTCTAGCGTGGGGTGATGACCAGCTACAGGCAATGGCAGACCTTGCTTCTCTCCCGAGGGGTGAGCGCGTGCGCGTGCTCGGGGGGAAGAACTTTGAGAAGTACGCGGTCTCAGTGCAGGGTGGGGCAAATCCTTAGCCGAAGGTTGCGAAGCTAGGTCTTGGAAGATTTTGGAACCAAGAAAGAGGAACTGGGTGGAACCGTTTTTTTTTTTTAATGGTGTTTGTTTTGAAGCATGCAGTGGGTGTATGATGATGAGATGATCCCAGTGTGACTAATATGTTTGGGGATTGGTTTAAACTAGCAACCACTGACCATGACACAGACTACGTTGCAACATATCCTATTCAATTGTGAGCAGGTATGGCTTTGTACAGAGAAAGGCGTCCCATGTCGATAATGATGATGATGGTGATGATGAGGATGATAATGATGATGATGGTGTTGGTGGTGATGGCTTCATACGTTTTATCACAGCTAGTTTGTGGCTCATGATGTTTGATGCCTTGGATCGCAACTGAACGAGTAGGCTTGGGAATCACAGGTTCCATGGCGGCATGGAGGGAACCATCGTCAGGGCCCTGGATGCATCCTTGTGTGTCCGTTGGGTGCATGCTACCAGCTGAGTCTACTGAGTCTACTTCACGCATTTTCCTATAACTTTCCTCATTATTGGTTGTTTATGGTTGTTTGTGATTTTCGCTGACGCTGAGGTCGAAAACAATGCGGAAAGCAGGAGCATACTGCCCCAATCTTGCCTTTGAACGAAGCAGTAACGGCATCGCTTCGCCTGACCGCCCCTCGAGGAATATGCGGGTGCAGTTTGACGATGTTTCCACTTCGGGTCCTGAACCCCTGGTGGTTGGTTACAGGCACCGCATAGGGCTTGGACGGCTTGGACTTGGACACCGGTTGAGAAGCAGAGGTCATATCGATTATGGAACACACCGTCTTGATCCATCTGTCATACATGCTGTCATGATTTCTAGTAGTGTCGACCCATCATAAACCTGGCAGTTGGATTTGATGATTGATTATGAGCGATTTGGTTCCCAGGGTTCCCAGCGGGATTCCCAGCTTGTTCCCTCAGTTCTTCATGGCTCTTTTGCAGCGTTCCCCGCGCAGGCACTTGGAGCATGCCCCCAACCAGGGAGGTTATCGACATGTCAAAAAGGACGAGTCCAAGGTGCTATGGTAGAAGCGAAGGGTGGGAGCTGGACAAAACCATATGTTGAAACGCGTAGAACAACAATAAACATATATAAGCATACGAAAATCTTTGAACAATTTTGAACATCTATGAGCATCTGGTTTATACATGTTTCATCATGTTTCCTGGGGAGAGGGATCAAAAAAACAAATAGGGATCAAGAAAACAAATAAGGATCAAAAAAAACAAATAGGGATCAAAAAAAACAAAGTTGAAAACTAAAGGAGGAGAAGGAAGGAAGGAAGGAAGGAAGGAAGGAAGGAAGGAAGGAAGGAAGGAAGGAAGGAAGGACGGAAGGAAGGAAGGAAGGAAGGAAGGAGGGACGGAGGGAGGGACGGAGGGACGGAGGGACGGAGGGAGGGAGGGAGGGAGGAGGGAAGGAGGGAAGGAGGGAAGGAGGGAAGGAGGGAAGGAGGGAAGGAGGGAAGGAGGGAAGGAGAAAAGACAGGAAAAGACAGGAAAAGACAGGAAAAGACAGGAAAAGACAGGAAAAGAAAGGAAAAGAAAGGAACATAAGGATAAAAAAACAAATAGGGATCAACAAAAAAACAAAATCATGGGGTGTCATACCCCCCCCCTGGAGAGTTACTTATTCCTTGCTTATTTTGGGAATAAAGCCTTTGAACAAAATAAGGTGGAAATAAGCATGGAATAAGCTATGATGCCTCACTGCCACTTCCTTCTTTAGGACAGGTGGATTTCGGCAAAATAATGCTTGAATAGCCTATGAGTTTCCAGTGTAAACAAGGGAGACCAAAAAGAAAACCGATCAAAATAGTTGTTGTTCAGAAGACAAAACAGGAACCCACAAATTGACAATATACCATTGCTTTGGGCCCCACACTGAAACTGAATGATTGCGACATGGTATTTTTGTTTCAAACACCAATCCCAAATTTCACCAGAAGAGGTTAAACACCTGAATATATTAATACCATCGTGTGAAATGTTCCCTTAATATGGGGCTGCCCCAAAATCATCTCAGATTCAACCATTTAAATATCTGTTGAAACCTTATATATCATTATTTTGGAGGTACCCCAATTTGGAGACCTGGGAAGATTCATTGAATTGTGTAATACCAGCACACTGCGCTCACCAAGGACAGAGGCAGCATATTTTTTCCATGGGAATTTGAATTGTGATGTCGGTTCAAAGGATGTCCAGGGTCGCAATGTGATCTCGTAACTGCTGGTCTGTCGGCCTGGGACGGCACATGTTTCATGTAAAAAAACATGGTTAGGATAATTCAGGGACACAATTCCTCATTTGGAAAAATGTAACTGAGAATTCAATGCAGGGGACATGTCAAACTTGCGAGTCGGGTTGGCATTGTTCCATCGCCTGTAAACCCATTCAATCACCGTCTTCAAAGCATCGAATGGGGTTGGGCACCGTGACGTGCTCCACTGGCGTTGGCAACTCTCTGGCTCAAGGACGTCGCCTTAGGTGGCAGTCACCCACATGTGACAAACTCTGGGACAGTGTTTGTCACATGTGGGTGTTTGTCACATTTAATTGGGCGTTGGTAAGTTCATTGGGGGCATGTGGGCATCCTACCTGATTTATCCATTTGATTGGATCATACTAATAATTATCTCTCACCCAAAATTGTTGATGATAGTTCAGTAAAGTCACCTATCGGATAGTCAGCACGCCAGAACTTCTTCACTGGGTGGTACCTCATCCAGAAAATTCCGGTTATGTCGCCACCTCCCGGCAACAGCGCTTTCAATGCTGCCGGAGTGAGATCATACAGGCGTTGTGATTCCTTGTTCTGGCTGACCTTTTCTTTTTCTTTAATTTTTTTCACCTTCTTTGCTTCAGCCTCCTTTTTTTTTGAATCCTCCTCCGCTTCACTTTTTTGTTTTCTCAATGCTGACGTTTGGCCTTTCCCATATATCTTTTCCTCTAGGCACACTTCAGCATGTCGCCTAAGATTCTTGAAAGCATCTTGGTTCTCTGTATCCAGGCTTGCAGCTAAAGCAAGAATGGAAATATCCACTTTGGCACGCTTCCACCCACATAGATTGCTCACACACTCAGAAAGGAACTCTTGATTGCAGCCGGGCCAAAGATGGGAAACCAATGTTTTTGCCCAATCCAACTTTGTCAGAGCACCGTTTTTGCCCGACCCACGTGCCGGTCGGACCTGCAGTGTGACACACACCTGCCTCAGCCGTGGCAGGTTCAGAAAGAGTCCGCTCTTGATGGAGCCCTTCAAAATCCACTGGTCGTGCTTGTGCACCACAGCAGCACTGCTGAGGAAGTGAAGTGCAGCTGGCATGCAAGCTGGTGGGAGAAGTGTGTGCTCAACAAACCTCCACTTGGAGTTCTCATGGAATGAGTAGTTGAAAAGAAGATCTGTGCCAAACGCATGATTGGCACGTGCCGAATCCAAGTATAAATAATCCTCAACAGGGGCAACTTACTTACTTAGGACCGGGGCCCAATGATGCATGTAACTTCATCCCCATTACAGCAACTATGTTTTTAATTGTTTATATAATACCTGGAATTGTTTAGCCATTAATGGGTTTGAAAATGTTTGAAATATATGATGGGCACAAGTACAAATATGAAGTGAAATGAACAACACATGAATGTTATCTTCTAATTACTTATGATCTTGATGCACAATGCCACCATCACCGGAATGGAGAAGATAGATAACAATCCCCAATGATTCTATCAGTAGGGGATTCAATTTTATGCCAACAGAATTCTTTGGACACCTGTTTTTCCACAATTATTTTTCGTCTTGGGAAGCCCACTTTCATCAGCCCCGCAAGTTGAGGGATCCGATAGTTGTTATTTTTATTTTGGCTTAATATTAACCCGCCTTCCCTCCAATGGTCGCTTTGCTCATCTCCACACCCAACGCCAACCAGCCATGGAATCCCAAGCTCAGGAAGTACGCATCGCTCGTGCTATCCCAGAATATTTGACCACGAACAAAGAAGACTCCTGTACCAGGGCATGGACTGGTGCTGGGCTGGTGTGGTGGTGTGGTTTGACATAAGGCATTCCCCCAAATAATTTAAGAACTGACACCTTTTGCTGAAAGCAAAATAACTATTATTATAATTATAACCATTGGTGGAGTAAAAGAAATACTAACAGTAAAGATGTTTGTCATTGGCTGGCCTGCCCAAGCAACATCGCAATGCTGGAAATCGTTTGGTGCATCATGTATCAAAAATGCCATTGCAGCTGAGCTCCTGTAGTGACTTGCTGGACCTGACATTCGCCATTGCGTCTTGACCACCCCCTGCGCGTTCTTGGGAAATTGCATGTCTGGAGCTGTTGGTACCTTTGAACTCGATCCTTTGAATGACTGCGTGTACCTTTTGTACCTGTCAGATTCCAGTAGGCCATATTCTTGAAGCAACATAGTCCATTCTGGGTCACATGGGAGATGCTGAGGCATACCCGATGGTCTGATAAAAGGTGAAGAGGTGAGGTATGCCCACAGGTTGTGTGCACTCATCGATTTGTTGGTGGAATTTTTCGCCACCACGTGAGCCAAATGCCCAAACGTGCTCTCTAATATTTCTTTCGTTGATGATGATCCACTGGAAATTTTTTTCATGGCTGCCACAGCTTGCGCTGTATGTGGGCTTTCAAGACTGTAGTTCCCCCTTTTGATGTGCACCATGATCTCTCTCGCAAAGGTTTCGTCAGGGAAAGCCAGGTCTTTTAAGCAACTAGATAGCTCACCAACCCCACCGGCCCCTGCTGCCATCACCATGTTCTCGGCCTTGATGATAGCTTCAACCATCTTTTTGAGGTTGGACATACCACGCTTTCTGTCAGAACGGTCAGTGGCTAGCAATGTGTTTGCAGCTAACGGCAAAGTCAGTCTGTGAAGCATCTCCGACCATCCGTAGTTGCCTGCCAAATGCACGCCAAAGAGAAACGCCTTGTTGATAAGCATGAAATCTTCCTCCAGTACGGTGGTGTTGAAAGGTAGTGGAGGGTCACAGCGTGGTGACAATCGCATTGCTTTACACAACTTGGGGGATGCCACAACCGCCATGATTTTCTGAACCACTGCAAATGATGAGCCAAGGCATCGCCTGACTTGCCAATCCAGAATCTTCTCCAGGCCCTGTTGTTGTGCAGTCAAATCATCTTGGTACTGATTGTGGAGTGGTTTTGTCACCCGGGTGAGAATCTCTGCAGAAGCCCTCAGTGTGGGATCGTGCATTATATCGCAGTACATGCGATGCGTACCTTTCGACTGGTACGCTCGATAGAACTCTGTTTTTTTCATCGGTTTGGGTTTGAGTACCAAATCATCACCCCCATGGTCATGGTCCTCTTCTGCTATGACAGCAGGATCATCAGGATCATCATCGTCGTGAGGGACATCATCGGTGTCAGACAGATCCTTGGCTGAGGGAAGGTGTGGTCTGGAACACTACTGAATGAAGAGGTGGTGGAACATAAATAAAGGGTTGTGAAAGTTATGTCATTGAACATGTTGTAACTTAGTACAATACGGATTTGTTGAAACATGTCAAAATTCATAATTTATAGGTAGTATGGTTCATTATTGCCATTGCATTCCATAATTATAATAGACTAGGTGCTTCCCCATTGGATTCGAAAAGGATTGCAGAGGATGCTTCTCGGAGCACTGTCCAATCACGTACCAATAATGTGAGGACGTTCAACACTCCGAACCAAGACTTGTTGCGAACCTGGGCAGTCGCTGATGCACAGAGTCTCCAACCCAAAGGGGAACACCTAAAATTAAAAATAATCAAAAGTTTTTGATTCAAAACAATTACCAAATCCACTAAACTGAGATTCATAGTCTCCCCTTCTTCTGATGGAAGGGGCTTCCAGAAAGTCTGTGATCATGAACCGGCATGCGTCAGTACTCAGACCATCTACCTCCATTCCACGGTCTAGACAAATCTCAGCACTCATGTCCTTGAAATACTCATCAGATTGCTGTTGCAAAAAACGTTCTAGCATCATTTTTCGATTGGAAGCTCTCTCTCCGGTCAGCCGGGTTCCATGCCCATAGTTGGCAGCTATGGTCAGACGCATGAGGTCGAATTCCATGGATGAATGTTCTGCTGCCCGTTTAAAACTATTCCATTTCGGGTGACATGCCTCAGGGGTCACTGCCATTCGCAACCCAACGTATGACGCAAGAAAGTGAAGGGCCTTGTTTTGACAGCCCTCTTCATCGCAAACCTGGGGGCCAAGTGCAAAGCGTAACATTAATCAAATACCATTGAAAAGTAAATTATTGTTGGGCACATGAGGGTGAATATTGGATTGGAAACATATTTATATTAAATTAAGTTTGACGTGGCAGGGGTAATAAATAAGCAGATTCAGATTCTCAACATCAAATGAAATCAATACAAAACAAAACAATGGTTTTTTGCAAACAGCATCAGTTACTTTTAAATTAATCCCAGGCACCACCCGAAGTACTCCCCAGTTTGGGTCATCAACTGGTGGCACTTCAGCTTGCAGCATGGCATCCCCCTTAAATCCATCCCGTGTGGGGCGTGCCCAGGCTGGCACATAGAAGTCGAGACCTTTTCCAGTCATCAGCCGCATCGTGTGCTGCAAGAGCTTGAGGATAGCCTCCGGCATCGGGAATTGATGTTTTAGTGTTGATAGTCTGGAGGTTTATTGTTTATAATTAATTACACTATTATAGGACCTCGCTTCTTTGGGTGAATTTGATTGATATGTCCGTTACTATTTAATACGATGGTTTGAATGTTTGCCTCAACCCAAATGGTCATTTGCTGAAACTTGACATTTGACTGAAGTAAGTGCAAAAAACACCTTGGACCTCACAGTTAATGACTGACTGACTTTCCAATTAATCATCAATCAGTCTGGCGCCATTTTGTTGTTTGGGCCCCCGAGCGAAGAAGCACACAGAATCCTTCTTTCCAATGACCGGCCTGCATTTAGGCGGGCAAATGGCATATCCTACAATACAGAGCAAGGTTGATTGCCATTTTCTTAAGCTGGATGGTTTCATCATCTTTAAAATCAGATTAACAAAAACCGGGATGAACAAATCGATGATCAGTCATAATGTCATAACACCCTTCCGTCCCTGCCTGAAAATGTCGCTTCCATCCAGCTTCTCTGAAATCATTTTTGGAAGCACCTGGGAGCCAGCCAGAACAAACAAGTGGGCAAACTACCAACGGGGTGTCAAAGCTGGAAATATGGCCAGATTCACTTGAATTATTTCTGTTGGCTTCTCATCCCAAAAAAAAATCAAATCTGCCCCCAATAATAAGACCCTTTTCGTTGTGGGATGGGTCTTTTTGGGGGTGCCAAACAGGAAAGGTCCAAAATTCAGAATCTTGAGAAACAACATCGGTTACATTCTACTCAAATCAAATTCCAATTGCAATTCCACATAGACACGAAATGGCCACGCAACTTTCAGCGCCGTATTTGTTTTCTCACTGAATGATCTTCGGGAACTAAGTCTGACCATTCTGGTCTGGCGTCCAATGTCCAGCAAGTAGGTCGCAGAGCTATTTTGGATGTAAAGTCATACAAAATGTGGTTGAAGTAATATTATCGAGATGGGAGATGATTTAAAAATGACAATATTGGATGGTTTTGTGTTTTTTGTTCGATTCAAGCTCGCGCCCTAGCTTAGCGTTTAACATATATCGAATTTGTTTGGTATTATAACCCCTAATGATTGGGATGTGCCAGCTATCATCATCAAAATCCACGTCCGGCGCTGCCGGTTGCGCAAGAATGTGAAATGGATCAGAAGATTGTAGACAGAGGGAGACGTGAAAATGGTGTTGCTTTGCACACCCGTTCGAAGTCTACTCAGCACTGACCCTGATCCCTGTGATGATCTAGTGGCGGCAACAGTCAGCTTCATGATCAGCAACTGCGGGTTCTCCTTGTACTGTGTGCGGATGGAGACAGTGCTAAATAAATCGGTCACATGGTTGAGCTGTAGAGATACATTGCTAATTGCCATGGTCTAGTCATGCCACAAATGAACCTTCGCTTGGGCAGGACCAAACGAATGCTCAAACTGGGACGACATGGCGGGTCAATTGCCAGTGGTTGGCCATTCCCTAGAACTCTGGCTGCACAGCTAGCAGGGCAGCTAGCTTTTGCATTGGGCACGGACAGCTGGAGCAATTTTCCATTTGTTGCAAGCACCAAGTTTGGATAACGAAGATACAACTAGGTAAATAAATAAACGTACCACTTCTTATCTTGGGATGGGCTTCAAATGAAGTGGATGCCAAATCAGAAATTTCAGCTGGGTTCCATGACAGGTGTAGTCTCACTCAAGTCCAATGACATCGGCTAACGCAAATGACGAGGTTCTCAAATCAATCAAGAAGGATTGGTTTCAAAAAAGCACTTTCCTACAATGGCAATCGTTGCAGCGCAGCCACAGCACTTGTATCAATGAGAATGGTGCAACATCTGAATTGAATTTGATTTAATCTTGATTCCACCACATGATTTCCACTGACAACACAAGAGGTCAATTCAATTCAAGTCAAGCCAAATCAGTTTCAGAATCAGAACTCTCAATTTTATCAGATTGCGGGCTGGGCTTCGCACGCGGGCAGTCCCCTCTGCACCACTGCAATTCAGTTGGCGGGCAGGGATCACTCTTAAGAAACTTTGATGTCTGGAATCGGGGTTGTTAATCAATTTTCAATCAGCGTCCAAAAATTATATTTGATTCTGGATACTTGGTAACAGTTATATAGTATTGAGAACTGTCAGACAGTAGATATGGTAACTGATAGAATGCCAGCCCAACCCCATCTCCTAAGGACACCACCCCTGCAGGAGTCTAGTCCTCCGGTCTAAGTCTGTTCAAATCACAGCTAAGTAAGAATGACCATCCAGTCACTTGTTGGACTTCTTTGTGGTCTTTTTGAAGAAATCAGTAATTTTCGCACTTTGTGCGCTATCCTTGGTCACCTTCGTCTTGATGTGGGGTTTCATCACACCACGGTGAACCTTAGGCTTCTTCTGATTGAAATAGTCCGTCATCTTTGCACTGGACTCAGTGAGGTCCAAGTCCACCATGCGATCAATGAGAGACTCCAACGAAGTTGAATCAGAGGCCTTGTCACTCGGCTTGGATCTGGAATCATCCGAATCCTGCCCGTACACCCACTCACCCCTTGCCCACCACTTGAAAGTAACATGTCCATGGCCACCATCAGGTGTCACTGGGATGTCTTCTGCCTTGAACTGATTCGATCGCCTAAGTAACGGGGATTTGTAACCACCGGTCATGTTCTCATCCCGGGATGGGCAAGAAGCAGCCATGCCATCAGAGGGAGAGCCAACCTTCGATGGGAAACGGCTGGAAGCCATGGTCTTCGATTCAATCCTATTGTCCACAAACTTTTCCGGGCTGTTGGGTGGTTGGAACCAAAATGGCTACTCAAAAAGAACACCAAGACTTCAAGAGTAACATCATCGAACCCAACCAATGACTGATGTGGATCACATTGATTTTTGACAATGGCTAACTAAAGGCAGTTGCCATGGATTCACATCTCAAGTCAAGAATGCATACACTCATGAATCCAAAGGATGATGTTTTTTGTTTCCTTCACGCTGCCTGTGCGGGCAGGATTGGTGACCAAGATTCATTCTACCAATTGAAAACTGTTCATTGACGATTCTGATTTCCACCACTGATCTAGACTAGTCTGAAATCTGAAAATTGTCTAAATCACAATGATTAATTAGGTTAAGTTTCCAGAAACGGCTGTCCTCAAACTGGCAGAATTGTCTCAGGTTTATTGTACCATATGATATGGCAATGTCAAAAAACACCACTCACCAGGGTTGTGCAGTGATTCCCTGCCAAAAACGCGCCACATTGCGATACTCAGGCGAGCGTGGCAGGGAATGCCAACTTTCTGGTGCTGGTGCACGGACGAGCATCTCCATATTTTTGTCTCTTGGCTCCAAAACAAAACAATCGTCAAAAGTTTGGAATGGGCAGCTTGCTACAAACAACAGATTTGTTTATTATTGAATTGCATGTTGGAAACACATAAATAAACAATAATAAATATCTAAACCACAACCTGAAAAAACTATGAACAACCCTGATATAACCCACATACATTACACATGTACATGGGTATGATTCCCTCATAAATCTATTCACCAAAAAACATGATTAAATAACATCACCAATTTAGAGGCACAAAGAAATGCATATTTTCAGACATATCCCCAAAATAAGGCAGGAAAAAGGCAGGACAAATGCAGGAATAAGCAGAATTATCATGAGCTGCAGAATAAGCAGAATTAGCTGCAGACTTGCAGATTTTCCAGATTCCACAAAAAATAAGGGAGGAATAAGGCAGGAATAGGCAGAATTAGCTGCAGAATTGCAAATTTTCCAGATTCCACCAAAATAAGGCAGGAATAAGGCAGGAATAAGCAGAATTAGCTGCAGAATTCCAGATTTTCCAGATTCCACCAAAATAAGGCAGGAATAAGGCAGGAATAAGCAGAATTAGCTGCAGAATTCCAGATTTTCCAGATTCCACCAAAATAAGGCAGGAATAAGGCAGGAATAAGGCAGGAATAAGCAGAATTAGCTGCAGAATTCCGGATTTTCCAGATTCCACCAAAATAAGGCAGGAATAAGGCAGGAATAAGGCAGGAATAAGCAGAATTAGCTGCAGAATTCCAGATTTTCCAGATTCCACCAAAATAAAGCAGGAATAAGGCAGGAATAAGGCAGGAATAAGCAGAATTAGCTGCAGAATTCCAGATTTTCCAGATTCCACCAAAATAAGGCAGGAATAAGGCAGGAATAAGCAGAATTAGCTGCAGAATTCCAGATTTTCCAGATTCCACCAAAATAAGGCAGGAATAAGGCAGGAATAAGGCAGGAATAAGCAGAATTAGCTGCAGAATTCCAGATTTTCCAGATTCCACCAAAATAAGGCAGGAATAAGGCAGGAATAAGGCAGGAATAAGCAGAATTAGCTGCAGAATTCCAGATTTTCCAGGTTCCACCAAAATAAGGCAGGAATAAGGCAGGAATAAGGCAGGAATAAGCAGAATTAGCTGCAGAATTCCAGATTTTCCAGATTCCACCAAAATAAAGCAGGAATAAGGCAGGAATAAGGCAGGAATAAGGCAGGAATAAGCAGAATTAGCTGCAGAATTCCAGATTTTCCAGATTCCACCAAAATAAGGCAGGAATAAGGCAGGAATAAGCAGAATTAGCTGCAGAATTCCAGATTTTCCAGATTCCACCAAAATAAGGCAGGAATAAGGCAGGAATAAGCAGAATTAGCTGCAGAATTGCAGATTTTCCAGATTCCACCAAAAACGGAGGCAGGAGTAATAGATCATAGAGAAAGTAGGAATAAGAAGAAATAAACCAGATGAGGGTCCAGTCAGATTTGTTTGTTTATTACCACACTGAACTTTTGAAAAGCAAGTGAAGCTGTGAATTTGCCCAATCTGAGTCAGGAGTCTAGGTCTGTCAGGTTTTGTTCTGCTTTTGTGAAATAATTGAGGAAGTAGAAGCCCATTCGGAATAAATATAATAACGTCCGATCAATTTTAGGGATGCTCGGTTTACCGGTCTCAGATCGACTCAAGTTTCAGAACTCAAGTAGTCTCATCCATTGAATCCGTGATTGGCCGCTCATCAGATGCAATCCCAGAACCTGGGTTGGCCCCCAGGTCTTCGACTTCCTCAGGATTGGTCTCCGAGCCTTCATCCTTCGGAGTCTCAGCAGCAGCAGGCGTTGTGGGTGGTACCGCAGCAGCTGCCTTTGAAGCAGCTGCCTTTGCCACAGGAATCACCAACAACTTTTTGGGTTTGGGTTCCAAAACCTTTTTCACCTCATCAGGGGGAATGGTTTCACCGACCGCCGTAGTCTTGGAAGAAGTGAACGCATTCTTCACAAATCTCTTGGGATAGGATCCATTCACACACTCAAGGATAGCATCACCACCACAGCTAGGGTCTTGGATACGCCATTCAAACTTTCCCGGCAACAAGAGCTGCTTGTTGACAGCACAATGGACCATGACTGTCCTGCCATCGTCAACCTTGATGAGATAGGGGTTTTGATCATCTTCAGCCACATCACCCTTCTGATTCAGAGACTCATCCTCCCCCTCTGAAAACCCACCTGCTTCCATCTCGACGTCTGGGCTCTTCGTGCTCGGAGCTGGAGATGCACCTGAACAGGATATAATATAGGATGGTAAAAGGTGATGGATCCTGCAATAGGTGAAATTGCAAACAGGTTTAAATTCAGGTGAAATAATTTTTTCAGAGACAGGGACCTAAGCTGCATGTCCGACCCAAGCCCCAAAATCCTGCCTCTTGCGGGCACCATGCCCTTGAGCTTGACAGAACGACCAGGTGCTTCTTGAGGTGGGGGGGGAGTCTTGGAAGCTTTGCCGGAATCCATAGGTTTGGGATTGGCTTTGGCAAGCTTCTGTTTGGACTCTGAACCCGGAGGTTTGGGTTTGGATCCCTTTGGGAACAGATCTGCACAATATATTCCAGAGTCCGCGTCAGCTGTGGACATGATACAAGACTTTCCCTCATACACATAGAGCTTGAAGGGGGCTTCCTCAAGACTCAGTACCGCCTTCTTCTCAGTAGCGACTTCGACAAGGTACCAGTTCTTGTCCTTCTTCGTCGGGCCCTGTGCCAAAGTTGTGGTGTAAAATATGATCATACCCGATTTCTGTGTTTCAAATTTGTGTCTATTAAAGATCCATGTGGCCCAGAAATCTATGTCACAGAGTTATTGTAATTATACTTAGTTCTGTGGTTACATTGTTAAATTCAAACATTATGTGCTGTCATGTGATTGATTCCCAAATGTAAGCTGTTACTAGTTACTAGGGGATGGCATTTTGGTGGCCAATCCTCATCGAAGTTGGCATCTTTGCATCTGTTATCCATAGACAACAAATACTTCAATAGTTGTTCCCAAGCTGCCTGAATTTCAAAATCATCAACAGCTCCTGGGTCCTCAGACTCTTCATCCTCCTCGTCAGACTCAGGAGCGACGGATGTTTCCTCCTCGTCCTCATGCTTGCGCCTGGACTTTGACTTCTGCTTGCCCTCGAAAGAAAGCACTTCGGCCGGCAATTCCGCGGGTTCCCCGTTATCGGATTTCTTCCTGGCAAGGGGCTTGGGATTTTTTAATGTTTGAACCCAAACAGACAGTAGATATTCGGATACAAATTCAATTCAGAGCTCTTCTTAGTATTCCACATTCATGAACTGGTTTGGCCCTGTGACAATGAATACAAAAATGTATAGTTAATGCTCAGATCAGCTACGGCAATTTCCAGGCAAACCCCCCAATCTGCCCTCGCTTGATCTTACCAGATTTCAGGACGCGCAATTGCCAACGCATGTAACGAGATACTTCACTGGGGCCCCATCCAGTTGATTCCAAAGGTCTCGACCGCCGGGTGTATTGAGAAGCTGCCGCTTCTAGCACACATTGCTTGTCTTCCCTACAACAGGGATGACTGGTGAAGGAATGAAATTAACCAACTCTTCAAATTAGTTATATCACATGTTTCCTTAAATTAAAGGAGCCCACAACTGGCAGAGCCATTGGCAATAAACATTACTACAGTAAACCCATCGGGTTGCGAGATCTTGTTGTCTTTGGGGAGCCAGCCAAAGCAGAATGCCACCCCAAGCAACAGCCGGTTGCGGGACTCCGGTTCCCAGAGCTCACGAGCTCCCCACGTGCTGTCTGCGTGCACAATCCAATCAGCAAGATGACAATCCTAGGATCTGGAATTATCAAACTGATGGGAAAGAAACATGATTGTTATTATGTATGGAATGTTTCGCCTACAAAACACAAATAATAATCATCATCAATCAATAAACAACCAAAAAAAAACATATGAGTAATAAGAATAACAAGTTCATTTCAGATAAGCTGCCACAAAATCTTCGACCAGCACCTGTGAATTGTAACTGTTTGTGGTAATCCTCCTGGTACCACCCCCACTATCTGTCTTCCGTCCTCTTCCGGGCTTACCAGAATTCTTGGCCTTTGCCTTGGCCGCCTTGCGTGAAGTTGATTCCTCTTTTCCAGGAGCCGGTGGTGAGTCACCAGGAAACCTCAGAAGGCTGACTAGATTCTTAGATTAGTAATTTTCCCGTGGGCTTGCCACCCCCAAATTACTTTGGGTTTTTGGGCAAGCCAACCGGAAACTTACAATCTTAGATCAACATCAATCAAAAACACATTTACAACAATTAATGTTTTTTAATGTGTTTTCCCTGATCAAGTAGTCTGTTCATCATCCCTGTAACCATCCCCCGTAAATGGAAACATATTGATTGGCTAAATTTTCTTTGCTGATTATCAGGTGAAAACCCATCAATGAAAGCATATTCACGAAACCTGAATACTGACCTAAAGTAAGTGGGACCTGATGAATACCCCTTATATTGGCACTAAGTAACAAATCCTCGTCAGATGATTCTGATGATTGCAGAATCGTGTGCTTAGGTCGGACACGGGGAGGAGGCACATCATCATCCTCTCCCTTGGCTGACTTGCCTCTCGGCCTTTTACGGATGGGGCGAGATGTGCTCGTGGCATGCTTCGAGTGCACAACCATTGCTCACAATTCTCAGTTTCCTTGACTCCAATCGAATTGAATCACTTGAGCGGAACTTGTTGTGGAGTGGTAGAATGCCGAACATAAATGGCAAGATTTCCCAAAGGACACATGTGATGATTCAGAATTCAAGTTGTAATTTTCCTGTTGGTTTGGTGTTCCAAACAATAGTAAATACCCCTCAATAATCCTTTTTTCCGAAGTTGGTTCGTTGTGTTTTTTATTGTGGTGGAGATGGGTGCCAAACCGATGGGAAATTGTTAAATCCAAGTACCAACGCACAGTGCAATTCTGAAAGCTGAAATCTTTTTCAGTCGGAGACAGGGACCATGTCATTGACTGACTGAAGTTCCGTCACTGAGCCATGTTCGATGAGTGGTCTTTCAAATCATGTTTTAAATCAGCATGGATGGGATGCCTGTCACAATGCAAAGGCTTTAATTTAAAGGTTTTGTTGTGATTCATTGCCATCTCATAAAATACCAGAAGTCATGGCTCAGCCAGTGGTGGCACCATTCTGTAACAACTCAGGGCCACCAGTTGCACACATGCCACTGTCGAAAAATGAAATGAATTACCAGCTACACTGGCATTCCTCATGTGGTCCCGCACCGGAATCATTGGAACCCCCATTGACTCAGCACAGCTTTGCGTCACTGGGAACCCCAAACATGCAAGCCGCTCACGGGATGTGAGCCATGATTGGGATCGGACATGCCACATTTTGCCATTGTTTCGGCGGAAAGTGGGTATTTTTCTTGAGGTGGCACTCCAACAGAGCCTTTTCGAGGGTGTGTCCCCCAAAAAAATAACTAAGTCATCGTCAGAGGTTGCAGCAGAACCGATGCGCTTCTTGTACAAGTTTATGGCATACTTGACACCTCCAGCCTCCCGTAGATTCAGCAATGTTCTCATTGAAAAGCGCTTGCCATTCCATGTGTGCCGAACCTGATGATGACCCGGCCATTTGAATTGGAAAGTTGTCTTTTGACTGTTTAAAAATAGATCACAATCTTTTTTGGGAAATCACAGTCACACATTGGGGGAAATTGCAAACAAAACCTTTAGTTAGATCCAGCAAAGGAACCTTGTTCATGCTGATTTTTTTTTTGCGTGTCATAGCAACAGCTTGAGCTTCCCTCTGGAGTTCATCCCATGAAGCCACAAGATAATCACAGGGTCTGGTTTGAACCCGTCGCTTGATGAATTGTGATACTTTGGAGTATGTGTCCTGGACATCATGTAACTCTTCAACTTCCCCTTCAAAGCTAGCACGAGGTAAATTCGATCTCGGGCTACACCTGCGTGACCCTGATCTGCTGGGCTAACGTGCAGCTTCTTGATGGCATAGTAACGGGAGTACAGCAGCATGATCATGGGCATGGATAGTTCCTGATGGGAAGGGAAAATAGAAGTAGATGTATTTAAAGGGATTTGAAACACGAAACTGTACTACTTCATTTGGATTCATTTGATTATTAGATTAGAAAATGTTGAAATCAATTGTAAATATGGTTTGGCAACAAATTTCAGAAGCCCAGTCCGGGACATTCTCTATCACCAAGAGTGGAGTCTGCAATGCTATATGATGCTTCGCATGAGCTATGAAGACCCGTGCTGTTGGGCCCTCTAAACCCTGCCGCAATCCACACGGTGACATGTCTGGGCACGGGAGACCTGAAAGATCGAAGTCTGGGGGGATTCCACTCACCAACCCCAAACTACAGCACTTGTTGTGTGTGTAGCAGTGTTGCTTTGAATATAGGGGGGCCCTGTTGAAGGCGTACACCTGTTCCATGAACGATGCACCAGGTTGAGGATGACAATCAACGGGCACAATTCCCGTCAAATCACCAAAGACACACGGCTTTGGGTGTACTACCTCGGTTGTATTGTTGTACCACAGCATGTGGTCATTGATCAGCTGCCTGCACCCAGGAGAAATTTCCTAGGCTGGCAAGCGTGCAGAAGTAAAATTAAATTGCAATCGGATTGGACAACCAATCTCAAAAATCACACATCTTCTTTTGCAAGGGTTAGGCTGGGGAATCAAATGTCAGTACCTTAAACTAAACCAACCACTATTTCAAAAGTTTCAAATATTTTCAGACAAAGTCTCATGACACTGGACTGGAGTGTAACAAAGAGGTCTATCCAATACCCCAGATCTGTTCACCGTTTTTTCCACCACTGCCAACGCCATTTCCCCTGAGAACGACCCGGTGCAACTAGATGAGGTATAGCGGACACTCGTGAGCAGTGATTCCTGGCGGCCGGGACTCTGACTTGACTGGGCTGGAATGGCATCGTTGATGGATTGAAATGGTAATATATGGTAATATAATATATAAAAATATATATAATATATAAATAAATAGAACAGATTTAGATTACTTTTGTTGTGTGAAAGTGAGGCACTGAGTTTACTGTTTGGGGTATCAATGCAACCCACTCATATCAGTGTCAAAACTGAGTCCTGAATTGATGCGGAGCCCAACAGAGCAACCAGCTTCTTCCAAGCAAGCTGCACACAGCGGGCAGCCTTTTCGAGCCGGCCTTCATGCACCATGTCCTGAATGGGGGTAATAATAACAAGCTGGGAGAATTTCAACTGGACCAGAGTTTGCCACTAGATTTATTGTAAAACATATATCTCTATATTATGGGGACATGAATACTTATTGGAACATTTTAGTCATGTTCAAGCAATTTCAATGAAAGTCAAGTACCGGTCCTGTTCTGGTGATGAACTTACAGAAAGCTCGGACGATCGCGCCCACCGCGGCACGTCAGACTCCACTGTCTCAACGCTGATGCTGAGAGCCATCAGGACATGAAGGCTTTGCTGAAATCTAAAACAACGATTGAAAATGACAATATATGACGATATACCCAATCCATTTGTTTGCATTGAAGCTAATTCCATGGATTTGCTTAAGTCAGCTGAAATTGAATTTGACTAGGTTCGAGATGGTTCAAATTTCAAATTAATTTCGTTCAAAAACATGTTCAGAATCCCAGCTCTGGCTGAGACTGAATGCTGCGGTTTTTTGGCCGGTAGCTGTGCGGAATCTGACATGGTGCAATTTTGTCCATAGGATAGAAATCATCATGCTTGATCGATGTGTTGAATTTGGTTTCCAAAACAATGTCATCCGATTGACTGAGGGTAGCACTTGGGGCGGCGCCCAGCCCCCAACACCAAGGTTAGGAGCCCAAATCCACACAATTTCTGTGGATTTTTTACCCACCGTGCTTGCATCCAGAAAGACCTCAGGATCATGATGATGTCATGCAACCCCCTACAACATATGTTTGAAATAACACACAATATCGAATACAAAGTAACTTGAAACTGTGGATTCATTGAATGTGTTTATGATGTTTTCTTTGAAATGCTACATGACATGAGTTTCACTACAATATTGAGAGTCCACTCACTGATTGACTGGGGGACCCCACATGGAAACTGTTGCTCTTCTGGAATTGGGCCACGAGGGAGCTGAAGTACACGAACTCAGCACATGAGAGTGGAATGTATTTCCCATGTTGTGATCTGGGTAATTCAAGCTTCAATATTCAACACAGTAATCAAGAGATGATTTCAATCCAGAATCCAGCTGAGTGAAAAGCCATCGCTATCTCAGACACCCGTGAAGGTACAAGAAAAGGGCGCACATCTTTGGGCAGTTGCTTGATGATGTCAGGAATCAAGATTTCCTCAGTGCACGGGATGAAAGCTGATTACAGGGGTTTTGGGGGGGGTGGAAAATATGTTTACTATTTACTTGACAAAAAATGACATAAGTTCTTATTCAAAACAACTGTACAACAAACTCACACTCCAGCCAAAACAAAAAAGGTTTCTTTTGACTGGTTGACTTTTGAATGACAAGAATCCTCATGGTCCCACAACTTCTTGGCAACACGCTCAACCCACATTGTTTTGACCACACGTCGGAGTTTTTTCTTGCTTCTAAATTGACCTGTCAACCCCAGTGATTCAATGTCCCGCGCAATCATGTCCACTGAATCATCAAGCACCCGCGCAAAGTGGCTCATCAGGTTAAACATCTCTCCTTCCAATGTCCCTCTCAAATGCGCCGTGTGTTGAGGATCAAGCGAGAAGCAAATCAATTGAGCAAGGTGAACTCTACCCAAACCATGTTTTGTGGTGACCCAAGTTTTGTTTTCATTCGTGAAATCCTTGCCCCAAGGCCCACGCACATGCCCATAGTAAAATTCCTGAGTCCAAAAGGCAGAGGCATCTACAAATCCGGAGCTGTCAATATGCACAGTGTTCTCCTCATTGTTCTTGCTGCCATAGGGGACCATACCCAGTGAAAAACCACCCAATGATGCAGCCAGCAAATTGACCAGGTTCTGGAAAGAATTGCAAGCCGTAGATCTGTCGATCACATTGCGAAACTTGTGGTTCATTGTCATCAGCATGAAGGATACATACATTGATGTAGACATTGTAATTTCACGTAGCCATGCTTCTTGGGAATTATCTCTGGTGCGTTTCTTTGAAGCCATCTTTGACAAAATGCTGTCACAAGACATACCCGGCCAGATCAACGCATGATACTGTTTCACAGTCTCACCATTTGCCCGCACACTCTCAATAACCTTTTTGTTAGAAGTCGATCGGGTGAATAATGATGCCGCCTGCAAGGGACCCCATTTTAACATGATAAGAAAAAACAAACTGATTTAAAAGAACCAACAAATTGTTAAAATGGTTGGGAGTGATGAGCTTAAGAGGACAAAAAATGGTTTCAGTCCCCAGAAAACACCTCCAGAGTCACCCACTGAGATTGCACGGTTTGCGACGTGTAGACTGGAATGTCACCACCAGCCAGATGCACCAAACCTCAAACAAATCGATTTGCAACCATAAAAAGAAAACCTGATTGCAACAAATCAATGAAAATTCTTTCACAAAGAATGCAGTGATAGATTTATCCAATAAAAAACTCAACATCACATTTGTTGTTGTTTATTTGCACTGGTGCCTCTTCCCCAACTGGGTTCTAGACATTTTTTGTGGTACAGGCCCTCCTCTACAGCCATGCATGGGACCTGAGCGGCAAACAATTTCCTAAATATACCCAGCTTCCCTGAAATGCAGATACCCCCATATCATCTACTTAAAAAAAAAACTTGTTTTCCACTGAAAACCCTTTTTGGGGAACTGTGTGAAACTTCCATAACGTCAGTCACATAGTTTATTGCAACTGCACAAGCTTTAGGTGAACTCAGGTTTGGGCAACCCGAGCGGTGGCCACGTGCAGGCAAAGCAACACGAGCAAAATATGAAAAATCATCCTTGTCTATTACGGACTTGAACCGGCCGGCGAGGTGTCTCTTTGCGTGAATCACAAAATAAGGGTGGAATAAGGTCTCACTCACTTGTTTCTCCACTTGCCATCCTGTTGGAAAAATAAAGGTGGAATAACACTGGAATAAGCATTTTTTCTTATTCCTTGCTTATTTGGGTACTATTTTTCTTTTTACAAAATAGTACCTTATTAGGGCCTTAATAGAGGCCTAATAAGGCCTTAAATTTAATTCAGGAGGGGGGGGGGTAAGGGGGGGGGTTTGGAACCCCATGACAAAATCCAGAAAACATGAGAAAACACAAGGAAACTATCACGAAATAAAGGCAAAACCCACGGATAAAAAAAACAAAATCAGGAAAGGAAAGAAAGAAAGAAAGAAACAGGGGAAGAAAGAAAGAAAGAAAAAAAGAAAAGAAAGAAAGAAAGAAAGAAAGGAACGAAGGAAGGAAGAAAGAAAGAAAGAAAGAAGTAACCTTCTCTTGAAAAATGAAAGGAAAGCTTCCTTCTCTTGACCCCCCCACCCGCTTTTATTTTTTAGCCGGCTCCCCTTGCTACCTACTATTCTTTTTATTCTTTTTTTTCACAAGCATCATCGTTGTTTATTTGGGTTCATTTACTGTAATCTTGATTGATATCCATCGCGACTTGTGCCTATGTACTTCTTTCTTGGTACGCATTGCGGGGGGAGGCGCTGCGCCCTTCCCCCTGCACCCCCCCACCTGCTTTTATTTTTTAATCGGTTCCCCTTGCTACCTACTATTCTTATCTATTCTTTTTGTTTTTCATAAGCATCATCGGTTATTTGGGTACATTTTATCTTTATTGATATCCATCGAGATTTGTGCCTATGTACTTCTTTCTTGGTACGCATTGCGGGGGGAGGCGCTGCGCCCTCCCCCCTGCACCCCCCCACCCGCTTTGATTTCTTAATTGACTTCCCTTGCTACCTACTCTCTTTCATTTTTTTTATAGGTATCGTTTCTTTGGGTTTATCTTCTCTTTCTTAATCTTTATTTATATCCATCGAGACTTGAGCCTGTGTGCTTCTTTCTTGGTACGCATTGCGGGGGGAGGCGCTGCGCCCTCCCCCCTGCACCCCCCCAACCGCTTTTATTTTTTAATCGACTTCCCTTGCTACCTACTATCTTTCGTTTTTTTCATATGTATCCCCATTTGTTTTTTTTTGATCCTCCCTTTCCGTAGTTTCTTGACGATTTTCTCTACGGTTGTCCTTATTTGTTTTTTTTGATCCTTATTTGCTTTTTTTTTGATCCCTCGATTTTGTTTTTTTGCTCCGTTAGCCATGTTTCCATGTCTATGTTTATATTATGTTTCTATTTAAAAGCCTACTTTTTCATTGAGAAATGGTGCTGGTTTCAAATTCAATTTCGTGGTGCATTGATGAATGCCATTTTGCAGGCATCTGAGGCAATAGAGAGAGAGAGAGAGCATTTGAGGCATGCAAGCAGCGTTTTTCCCCACCTGCCAGGTGAGGGTTGTTAGATTTTATCAGAGCTGTTCTCCTCCTCCGCCTCCGCATCCTCCTCATCCATCTCCTCCGCCTCCTCCTCCTCGCAGTCCAGATCCCAGTGGGCACAGCCGGGCCTCCACCCGCGAGCGCCAGATCGCAGTGGGCACTGCCGGACCTCCACCGCGAGCTCAAGATCCCAGTGGGCACTGCCGGACCTCAACCGCGACTTCCAGGTTGCAGTGGGCACTGCCGGACCTCAACCGCGACTTCCAGATCGCAGTGGGCACTGCCGGACCTCAACCGCGACTTCCAGGTCGCAGTGGGCACTGCCGGACCTCAACCACGAGCTCCAGATCCCAGTGTGCACTGCCGGACCTCAACGGCCAGATAGAATGCCAGAAGATATGCCAGACAGAATGCCAGAAGATTTGCCAGATAGAATGCCAGAAGATATGCCAGAACATATGCCAGAAGATATGCCAGATAGAATGCCAGATAGAATGCCAGAAGATATGTCAGATAGAATGCCAGAAGATATGTCAGAACATATGCCAGAAGATATGTCAGATAGAATGCCAGATAGAATGCCAGAAGATATGTCAGATAGAATGCCAGAAGATATGTCAGATAGAATGCCAGAAGATATGTCAGATAGAATGCCAGAAGATATGCCAGATAGAATGCCAGAAGATTTGCCAGAAGATATGCCAGATAGAATGCCAGAAGATATGCCAGATAGAATGCCAGATAGAATGCCAGAAGATATGTCAGATAGAATGCCAGAAGATTTGCCAGTAAGAAAATGTATAAATGCCATTGTGGGGATCATTCGAAGTGAAGTAATTATATTTTTTGTGACAGGAATTGTACAGCACTTGATCTGTGTTTTGCTCGGGGGGGTTCACCGAGGCGGTGTGTTTGCCTAGGCAGAGGGTATGAGATGCGTAGGGCATAAGCTTCGGGCGTGTTCAATACAGCCATGTGTGCCCAGTGCGTAGGTGTTCATTGTGATGGCGTGAGCTTTGGTTAGGAGTGGCGTAAGCAAATCCAGACGGCAAGAAAACCACGGCTCATGTGCAAATAGCGTGCTCAAGAAAGGTGTTGAAAAGGAAATCCCCCAGGCTTTTGATGGATAGCTGCAATTCTTCTGCGACCAATTGCTCATTTGCATTTGGGGCAGCCAGCTGTCCAGATAATTTCACCTGTAGACTTCTGTGACCTTCTGTCGCCGACTAGTATGTGTTTGTTAGTTCTTCTTCGATCTAGTTCCTACCTCAGGGTTTCAAACAAACTGTTTCCATTTGACTATAAACCATTGAAAATTGAAACAACATGTTTGAAGAAACGATGGCTTTGTTTAGGAACCAGGTTTTTGAAACAAGGCGATTTCAGGTCCACTTCTTGGGCCTTCACCCAGTTACTGTATTATAATTGGAGTTAAACATGTTCGCCCCAACCCGGACGTTCGCCCATATTCAACTAACGCACCGAAACAATATCATATACTCACCTGCATGAGGATGAGCGAAAACACTGGCAATGCGTAGCGATTGTGACTTTAGGTTTCAGGATTTAGGGTTTTTGGGTTTCAGGTTTTAGCGTTTCGGGTTTCTAAGGTTTTTAGCGCTTTGGAAAGTTAAAAAAAAACGCTAGCCGTACACAGGGATTTGAGCATGTCAAGCGACATGTGCGATCGGTCACGGGCAAATATCAGGGTTGCAGCGAACATGTTTTTAACCTTAGTTATATTTGGATGAATCCTGACTTGCCCTACCTCTGGGGGCAGTTATAATTTATAAGTAATCCACTCAAAAATACATGGGTCGGACCACCCGGTTGCTACATTTCATCCCTTTGTGCAGGCTGAAAAGACGGACACCTCGGCGCTGCTGAAGGCGTATTCGCTCAGATCCTCCAGGGGTGGGATGAGAACAACTACCGGGAATTTTCGAGTAAGTTGGCGCCATTTTGATGGCCAATCTCTGCTCCCTAATATTAAAACACCCCCCCAAATGCTAAACATGGTGATCTATTTTGGGGTATTTAGTATTAGGGTACCCCGAATAATAAAACAAACACCTTAATAAAAGAATTTAAAACAAGATTTCAAAATCAATTGAATCCCTTTTTAAAATCCCCTTAAATATTGCCAAAGATTGGCTTTCGAAGCTTTCCCCTAATTGTCAAATTAAGACCTTTACAAAAAGCATTAAAAAACATGATTTCAAAGTTGATGGGACCCTAATAATAAACTTACGGGTCTCGTTCTATTTTTATTAAAAGGGGGTACAAACCATTATTTCACCATCCTGTTCCCCTATTGATTTCCATTTTCAATTACAACAATTAAGAACGCAATTGTGAGCAACCAAAAAAATTCGAAAGTGGCAATCCACTCCCTTTTTTATTACTTGGGAGAGTTTTAGTAATAGGGAGAAGAGATTACTTGTCTCAACCATGGGATGGAATGGGGAACCTTATATATTTGGTGCCGAGATCATCATACAAGCCCTTGGTATACTGTGTCGGAGGTCTTGGGGCCCCAAACAGATGTCCCAAAGTCGATGTTGCAATTCTGGAAGACCACCACTACCAGAATAGAGCCTTCATTCTCAGCATGGTTTCAGGGCTTGTTGAGCGGATGCCATGAACGGCTCAAGCTTGATGCAGGACATGACATGTCAGAGATTGTGATTTTGAAAGCTTCAACAGGAACGGGTGCAGGAACCTTGGATAGCAGGGATGGATCAATCACATCCAGCCTTAAACAAGATCAGACTTCATGCACCGTGACCGTGCAATGAAATGTTTTACTTAAAAGATGATTGCATTAAAAACCATTACAGTTGGCAAGACTGGACACACCCTCACCCCCCCAAAATCATGCATCCCCAACAGGATCCCCATCTCAAAATTCCCAAACTATCCGAAACCATTCCCAAAATCCATGACCCAAAAGCAACCCATATCATCCACCAAAAAATTCATGAGTTTCTGCCATGACCAGCCTGCGCCTGGCAGATCGCATCGTTTGCCCTTCCCGAGTTCCTTCCTTCCATCGGCCACGGCCGTTTCTGGGACGGCAACGCGGCTTCCGCGGGCGCACCGCGGTGGCTGCGGCGCTGGGCGCTGCGGCGACGGCCGCACGGGCGCCAAAGAAGGCGGTGCCAGAGTGGGAGGCGGCACTGAGGCTGGTTGAGGCGGTGAACCAACTTCGAGGCAGTGAACTGGCAGAAATGGTGCCTTTTTTTTTGGGTGAGAAACCCGGAATTTGATGTTTTTTCTGTTGAGGGTGAGATGCGGTGTACTTTTCAAACGAGTTTCTTCGAGATCTCTTGAAATTGGGAGAATTCGATGTGTGTGATGAGTTGCAGTAATGATCAGGAGTTGTGTTTTTTGAAGGGTTTTGAAATGGGGGGATCAATGGGTGTGATGAGCCAAAATCAGTTGGAAATTTGGGGACTACGAACTACATCATCTACACCAAAAGAGAATGATGGAAAATTATCCAGATTTTTTGGAATGATTGGAACCCTAAGCCCTAAATATCGCATGTTGGAGGTGGGTTGGCAACACCACCAACCACTTCTTTTCATTTGCAGACAGTGTGCCTATCTTGGGCATGGCTTAAAACTTTCAGACTTGTACAGGCTAGGTGCCCGCAAATGGACTGGCAGTTTGACATATATTGAAACCATGTTTTAGGTACCTACTGGCTGATGTGTCCAAGATATTTGCCCTGAAACATGGGGCCTTCATCAGACATTGAGGTCCTCAAAGGGTGGGCAAACGCAGCCGAGTCCATGATTGAAACAGACTATTTGCACCCTTGAGATTTGGAAGCCTTTGAGAACCAAGAAGACTAGCAGACCACAGAAACCAGGACCTAGGGTTTTGACCCACGCTTCAAGGTTATCCGCAGGAGGAACTGCTGGAGCTCTTGAGTTCCATTGCTGTCAAGGACAAGGGCCTTCCTGTCTCCAATGGGGAGACAACATCCGGCAGGTCCGGCAGGGGCAAGTTCGTGCCCCCTAAAGGCGGGAGCTTTGGCCTGGCAGCCTACGGCCTACTTTGGGGCGCATCCCAGTAAGTATGGTTAAGTTTGGTGTACGGTTAGTAGCTCATATGTAGCTCATGTATGAGACATGTATTATAAGGTATAATGCCAACACCGGATTAATAGACCCCCCCCCCTAGAAGGTAGGGGGGTACCTTCTGGCGAGTTTTCTTGACTACCCGTAAATAAACGGCCCTGAACCATAAAATTCTGAACCATAAAACTTTGGATATGGCTTACGTCAATTAGATCTTAATAGAATTCCATTGGATTTGTTAAAATCTCATGGATCAGAAAGGTGGTTGATTAATCAGGGGCAAACCATGGTTATTATTAATGGGGGACATGGGCTCATGGGGGGTACCCTTTGGGAGCTATCCAAACTGATGTTTTTTATAAAGATTTTAATTAGAAATCGATCATTTGGGGAATAGTTGTTTTTTGAAATTTTCAATGATCAACTTAAACCTGAAGTATAACAATGATGATTATAAAAAAAAGGTAAAAAAAACAATTGGAAATAAATAGAATTGGAAATAAAAAATGTTGGATAAAAAACATGGATTTCAGCACTGGTGGTTGATTAATCGGGGGTAGGCCCACCGGTTTTTTAATCTGGGGGGACCACCTGTTTTTGAATTGCTTTTTTTTTGGCAATGGTGGTTGATTAATCGGGAGGGGATTATTAATCCTCACTTGACATTATTCCATACATTACTGGCTTATATTTTGCTTATTGCCAACTCAGTAGCTGGTATGACTTGACCACCCTATATAGTTGAGTCCAGCCTATCCCCAATATGCAATGATAGCACCACTTCTGTTGGCTAAGTCGCCATGTGTACAGGCAGTGACCGGCTCTTCCTCTACGACTCCGATGGCCGCCCCAGTGTTGGGGCACCTATCGTAGCGTGCGATGGCTGGAGGGATGCCACTGACCAGAAGAAACAGGAGATGATGAGCGATACTGACCCTGGGTATATCCAACATGAGATATCTCTAACATAGGGGTATGACTGAGATGTTGATTTTCTTTGTTTTTCTCCAAGAAACGCTTTGAATGCTTTCATTTGCAGCATGATGGGGTCAGCTGGCGCTCTGGCTCATTGCAACGGGAAAAACATGGAATAGAGCCGTGAAAAACCCAAACACATCCAAAAACCATGTAATTGATCCAGAGGATCTTCATCCCTTCACCAGCTACACATCACTTTTCTACAGCGGTGGCTGAAGAAAAAAATACCGCGGTGATATCTCGGCAGAAATGGATCCTGAGGCCTTCACCCACTGCCACAATGAGACATGCATTTCCAAACATGTATACTTAAACATACTTAAACCATTCTGAAATTCTGAAGGCCTTGGGATCTTCACTTCCAGTCATGTGGTGAAGGAGTTTCTAGTCTCCCCTACAAGGTGGTCCTAGTCATAAGTTGGTTTATCCACGCCCTTCGCCATAGATTCATCTACCCCAAACCCAAGAGTGAGATGGTGAAACCACCTTTACAAGTCCGTGAGCTCAGCATATGGGAATTTTCGGACCCTGAAATGGAGGCACTGTACCAAATGAAGCCATATTTGGAGGCATATCCCCTTACATAGCCCTCCAGAACAGGCCTTATTAATATGGTAGGTAAATGAAATGGCCATTGAACATAAATCATCATAAATCCATACACAAATATATATATATATTATATATATATATTATATATTATATATATATATATTATATATTATATATATATTATATATATATTATATATATATTATATATATATATATTATATATACATACGTGCCCCCATCTTTTGGCCCAGGTTCATCCATTTTGGCTCAGCAGCTCCAGGAGATCTTGGAAGAGGCCTTGGCTCAGCTGAAGACGCAGGGCTTTGTGGTCTTGGAACGTCTCTTCGCGCCCGAACAGCTGCAGGTGCTTCCCTGGCCGGTTGTGGCAGGGCTGCGGAAATGGTGGGAATGTAAGATGTTAGTATCTGGTTGGTGGTTTGGAACATTAGTTTTATTTGTCCGTATAATATTTTTCAGAGGGGTTGAAACCACCAACCAGATATGCATGTTAAGATGGTTCAGAGTGCCTAAGTCTCTAGGATGAAGATGGATGAAGGGGATTTTAGATGGTGTTTGTATGTTTTGATTGCTCGCATGTGCCCCAAAAATAAGCATGGCATCTTGCTGGGTCAAGCTATAGCAGCAATCATATGCTGCTGCTGCTGCTGCTGCTTTTATGGTTGTGGACATGGAACTGGCAGGAGATAAGCCCAGCATCACTTGCACTGTCTTTGATGTCCCTAGGCAAGTAGAAAGATATGTTATGTACAAAATTGAAAAGATGAGACACGTGCCCACAGCAATATTTGTTGAACAATACCCTCCGGAATCTGACACATTTTAACACAGTATATAGTAGCGGGGGAAATGGTTTATTTTAATATAGATGATTCAGTGATTTACCTATTAGACGTGGTGATACATTTGTTTATAGATAATTTTCAGAATTTATAGATGGTTTACATAATTTACCATAATTTACCTAAACAAAAATCCTAATGATTCATTTTGTGTTGAGTTGCGATATTGTATGTTCGCCAGTTGCGAGCTCCGCAGGTCCTCCTCGAAGAGTTCCGAGGCCAGCGGAAGACTGGGCTTCCAGCGGGGGTGACCTTCAGTCGGATGAGAGCCAAACGAGCTTCCCGGCAGATCTTGGCAAATTTCGGCAACAAATTTCATCAGACTGCTATGGATCAATGGATTGCTTGCATGATATATATATATATATATATATGGAGGGCTAATTATTTTAGGATTTTTTTTTGATCAGGTTTAGGAATTATTTTTGGATTCCTGCTTCTCTGCTTCTCTGCTTTTCCTGCTTTTCCTGCTTCTCTGCTTTCCTGCTTTTCCTGCTTTTCCTGCTTCTCTGCTTTTCTGCTTTTTTGCTTTTCTGCTTCTCCTGCTTCTCTGCTTCTCTGCTTTTCTGCTTTTTTGCTTTTCTGCTTCTCCTGCTTCTCTGCTTCTCTGCTTTTCTGCTTTTTTGCTTTTCTGTTTTTCCTGTTTCTTTGCTTCTCTGCTTTTCCTGTTTCTTTGCTTCTCTGCTTTTCCTGCTTCTCCTGCTTCTCTGCTTTTCTGCTTTTCCTGCTTCTTTGCCTTTCTGCTGTTTTGCTTTTGTGCGTTTCCTGTTTCTTTGCTTCTCTGCTTTTTTGCTTCTCTGCTTTTTTTTTTTGCTTTGCCTGCTTTAAATACTTGATTTTCATGTAAGATGCATTTTGCACAGTATTTAAGTATTTACATCCCTGAGTATCACATGACCAACCTTCTCTTGAAAACTAGCAACGTAACATGTGAGAAGAGGTGCTTGCATTCTGCTTTGGGGGGAGGCGCTGCGCCCTCCCCCAATCCCCCCCTCCCGCTTTTTTTTATTTAAACTTAAACCCAAGTTACATTAGTTGGTTTTTGCGAACTAACCTTCTCTGGAAAGCTGACAGGATTACATGTGATAGAAAGATAGATAGATAGATAGATAGCTGGATAGATAGATAGATAGCTTGGTAGATAGATAGCTAGATAGATAGATAGCCAGCTAGATAGATAGATAGCTAGAGAGATAGATAGCTAGATACCTCGATAGATAGATGGCTGGATAGATAGCTAGATAGATACATGGCTAGATAGATAGATAGATAGATAGCTAGCTAGCTAGATAGATAAAGAGGTAGCTAGATAGATAGATAGATAGCTAAATAGATAGGTAGATAGTTAGCTAGATAGATAGATAGCTAAATAGATAGGTAGATAGTTAGCTAGATAGATAGATAGCTAGATAGATAGCTCGATAGCTAGATAGCTGGATAGACAGCTGGATGGCTAGATAGATAGATAGCTAGATAGATAGAAAGCTAGATAGCTAGATAGCTAGATAGATAGTTAGCTAGATAGCTCGATAGCTAGATAGCTGTATAGACAGCTGGATGGCTAGATAGATAGATAGCTAGATAGATAGAAAGCTAGATAGCTAGATAGCTAGATAGATAGTTAGCTAGATAGCTAGGTAGGTAGATAGATAGCTAGCAAGATAGCCAGCTAGATAGGTAGATAGATAGCTAGATAGATAGATAGCTTGCTAGATAGATAGCTAGGTAGATAGCTAGCTAGCTAGATAGCTAGATAGCTAGCTAGCTGGATAGATAGCTAGCGCCCTCCCTCAATCCCCCCCACCCGCTTTTTATCTAATCCCAAGCTTCCGCATCTGTAAATATTTGGGTGAACATGCTCACATGTAGAACATCCCATGCAAAATGGAAGGTGAACATGCCAAAATGTTGCAAATACCATACAAATTGGACGGTGAACATGCCCACATGTAGTAAATCCCATGCAAAATGGAAGGTGAACATGCCAAAATGTGGCAAATACCATACAAAATGGAAGGTGAACATGCCCACATGTAGTAAATCCCATGCAAAATGGAAGGTGAACATCCCCAAATGTGGCAAATACCATGCAAAATGACAAATTCAAGTTCCAAACCGTTGCAAACACTAGGCAAATGGTACCAGCCAAGAAATCCAAAAAAAAATCCTAAAACTATTTCACACCCTATATATATACATATATATATACATTTATATACATTTATGATATTAGATTATTATATTATATATATATGGAAACATCTTAACCGGAAACCATCGGAAACCATGATTTTTACGAGTAAATACAAAGATTTCCCGCACATGTTCCTTGAAATTGCCTTAAACCAATTCTGGGAATAGATGTTTTTGGTTTGCGGACGGTGGGTTCGGGGTGTCAAGTGCTATTTTTTTTGGGGCATCCAAGTGTACACGAGCAGGAACACTTTGACCTCCTTCGATTCCCCAAAGCTTCTCCAAGACTGCTTGAAGTTTATCAGGCTAATTTTGATTTATTTTATCATATTTTTTGAGATTCTGCTTGGGGCCTCAGCAGTCCTCAATGGGAACTGTTAAAGAGATGAAGAAGAGAAAGCAGCATGTTGGAATGATGTCACCCCTTGTCACGGGGCATTACTTACTGATGTGATATATTCTCAGGACAACTCCAGAATGACCTTCCACTGTCCAGGACATGACTATCCCTCCCTTCGACAAGCTATGGGCAGATGATGACATCATTTGTCATCCGTTGATTCTCGCTCTCCTGTGCAGATATTTGCGGAACAGCACCAACATGAGCGAGGACTTAAGAGCAGTGAGTTTTCACTGCTTGATTTGACAACGCAGTGTTGGCATGCTGATGGGTCGAATTGCTTCAAGTTTGGTGAGTTTTTTGTGGTTTGTCCGCACGTGTGTCAGTTTGGCTCATTTCCCACTTTCCGTCTTCTGCAAATCTCCGTAGAGGCTCTAATAAGAATCTCCATATTGCATCTTTGAAAACTTAGTTGTGTGATCAACCATCGTGAATATCTTCGATGTTTTTCTCTTACGATTATCGTGGTTTCAAGTTCCAAACTTTCAACATTCTTCATTCCATATTTTTTCCGCAATCCCCAAGTTTTTCCGTTGAAACTCCTCACGTTTCTCTCACCGATTTCGGATGATCAGTGTCGCAGGAGAAATCGGCGGAGATGTCCTTTGCCCATTGGCTCGGTGCAGGTGGAGACATCGAAACGTTCACCTCTGGCAGGCTGAGTGGCTCGGTAGATGTGTAATGTGGGTGTAAACTGCCGGTTGGTGCTTTGGAAAACAAATAATGGTTATATGGTATAATATATGTTTATTGGTAAACTAACATAACTATGGAAAATCACAATTTATCATATATATATATATATACCTGCCGCCTCCAACGGGCAGAAATTTAGGCCTGAAACCAAATAGTAGCCTTTTTGGGACTCGGGCTACTTTTTAGCCTGAGCATCGATTCAGGCGAGATTGTCCATTCAGGCTGGAATTGCCAGTTTTGGCTCAATGTGTGAGCTCTCGTTTTGAGAGCTATTTTTGTGTTTTGGTGTTCACCAATTCAGGCGGGAATGCTCGGGAATCAGGCGGGAATACCCGGGAATCAGGCGAGAATTGGCGAGGAAACGATTTTGAGCAGTTTAGGGAACAAAAATCTTTAGCAAAAATGTAGAAAACCCTTTCAGGCAGGAATTTAGATTCAGGCGAGAATTCCAGGGTCAGGCAGAAAAAGAAGCCTAAACACATTCAGGCTCAAATTCTAGCCTGAGGTTGCTCTAGGTATATATGCTGGTTGGTGCTTTGGAACATGAATTTTATGACTGTCCATACACTGGGAATGCCATAATCCCAACTGAAGAACTCATATTTTTCAGAGGGGTGGCTCAACCACCAACCAGATGTCATAAACCAGCTATGACTGGGAATGGTTTTTGGGTACGTATATATATATATATTATATATATTTTTTTTTATTATTATGGTGAAATTACCCACATTTCAAGGGGATTAAAATTGATGAAATTCAATGGTTAATGCGGTAAATCCAAAAATCCAATAATAAACCTATGGTTTGGGGATGATTTATAGGAACCATTCAGTGTGATTTTGGGGAATTATTGGGTTGCCCACAATATACTGTATAAATTGGAGTTGATGGGACTTGTTCCAGTTTGAGTATGTTCAAGTGAGGTTGGGATTTGTTTTTCGATTCTGCAAATACTGTATGTTTGCAGATGTCTGCGGTATGATTGGTCATTGACCCTGTTTTGGTGGTATCCCACATGCCCCCCTTTGCCATACTATTCTCAGATATTATTGTCAGATTGTCATGTTATTTTCCTTTTGGGTCTTCCATTGGTATGGGACCCCGTCTACCCGACATAGAGATATATGGATATGTGGCAGGATACCCAATTCAATGGAAGAGGAACACCAAGTACAAACATGATGAAACTAGGACTTCCACAGAGGCAGAGAGGGTCCATGTCTTGATCTACATGTATTTGGACCACTGGAATCTGACATGTTGAATCTACATATGGTGGTGCCCACCCAAAGGTGCTGGCTATCCAGAGTTGGACCTGCTAGTGGTGGTGGATACCCCTGCAGGGGCGCCAGCCCAGACACAGCACCGCGACACCATTTTGCCGGGACCTTGTGCATCGCTCGGGGTTCATATTCCCTTGACCACCATGCAGGCGACGGCGCTCTCCGTTTGCCTGAGTACTAAGGTTCTATAGATCGATATAGGATGATATTAGGATGATGTATACATATATATATACACATATTAATATAAACATATGTATTATATGCGTTTGCATATTTTTTTAGATATGCGTTCAGTATATATTGAAAAACACGCACACACACACATATATATATATATACTGTATATATACATATGATATATGTATATACAATACAGCCACCAGATATTTACATCTCCCAACCCTAAAAAAAACCGTCAGATCCAGCAGGCCGAGCCCCTGAACGGCGCCATCGGCTTCTTCCCCGGCTCCCACCTGCTGCGCGGTGCCCTCGGGGCGTCGCATCCAACGCCTGCGACGGAGGTGGTGGGTGCCACAGCGCCAGGCTCGGTGCTGCTGTACGACTCCTTCACGGAGCACCGGGGATTGGAGAACGAGAGCCTCGTAACAAAGACAAGAACGGGTTAAGTATGGTTAAGTAACCAAAATGGAAAACATACATGCATGCATACATGTAGCAATAATTCTAAAACAAAACAAATAGACATTATGGGATTTCACTGGTATTTTGATACCCTCAAGTTGGAAGGTTCTAGAATGCCCCCCCCTGGGGATAAACACGGAGGGTTCTAGAATGAAAAAAAATCATTGTAGAACCCCCGGTCCCGTAAGCATTGTAGAACCCTGGAAGCTTGTATATAATACAGTATAATATATTTTATAATATATTATAAGAAACATATGATGATGTATCTGTACGATTTAATTCGACGTCACGACGTCACCCCGAATTAACGAGGCAGAATTTTGAAATTAAGGGGATTTTTACATAAAGTGCAGAAGGTCAAATAAGATCAAATAAGGCCTTAACAACGTTGCAGAGAAATACAGCTATTTAATGCTATTTCATGATATTTCAGCATTGGTCTACAATGCCAACAGTTGATTTGGAAACACATTGATCTGGAATGTCCCAATTTTTCTTGTGGAGAGGAGGGAAGGGTTCTAGAATGGTTTCCTGCATGTACCAAGGTGTGATTCAACATCCGTGGCTCATGGATTCCATTTCAGAACACATAGATTTAGCTCTATACACAGAAGGTTAAATAAGATCAAATAAGGCCTTAACAACGTTGCAGAGAAATACAGCTATTTAATGCTATTTCATGATATTTCAGCATTGGTCTAGAATACCAACAGTTGATTTGGAAACACATTGATCTGGAATGTCCCAATTTTTCTTGTGGAGAGGAGGGAAGGGTTCTAGAATGGTTTCCTGCATGTACCAAAGTGTGATTTGATTCAACCGTGGGCCCGGGCTTCCCTTTCCGACCGCATCGCTGTCGCTCCCCTCTCCCCCGGCCGGTCCCCTCAGCTCCCCTCCGGCCCTCCGTACGTTCCCGAGACCTCCCGCGCTTCCTTGTCTTTCCTCCGCTCGAACATCCCGTACAGAAGGAGCGACTTTATTCACTCTGTGTCCACACACACGAAACCCCACCACAACACCAGACCCTGTTCCCCCGGGCGGCATCTTTGGCCCCCCCCAGTGCTGCCTGGCATGTCCCCCCCCTTTTTTCTTGGGCGCGCCGGGAAGGGTTCTCCCACCGTACTGTTTACTTAATCGTACCAAAGTGTGCACCCCCACTTTAAAACAACCACACCATAACCGTGCAGAGAAAAGTAATATAACTAACTCGCTGATAACAAATCTAAACACGAAGATCAACCAGACCAAGAGCAGAACACTTTCAAACTACCTGAGAGGAGTCCGTTATGTCTTACACGACACACCCGCGCCTCGAGCCGCAGCTTCTATCCCAAGCAGCGTTTACACTAAGATCAAATAAGGCCTTAACAACGTTGCAGAGAAATACAGCTATTTAATGCTATTTCATGATATTTCAGCATTGGTCTAGAATACCAACAGTTGATTTGGAAACACATTGATCTGGAATGTCCCAATTTTTCTTGTGGAGAGGAGGGAAGGGTTCTAGAATGGTTTCCTGCATGTACCAAAGTGTGATTCAACATCTGTGGCTCATGGATTCCATTTCAGAACACATAGATTTAGCTCTATACACAGAAGGTTAAATAGCTCACATACGGCTTACCAGTTGCAACCGAGAAAATACGAATATTCCCTGCTATTCCGACTGCCCTCTTTCAGCATTGGTCTATAATACCAACAGTTGATTTGGAAACACATTGATCTGGAATGTCACAATTTTTCTTGTGGAGAGGAGGGAAGGGTTCTAGAATGGTTTCCTGCATGTACCAGAGTGTGATTCAACATCCGTGGCCCATGGATTCCATTTCAGAACGCATAGATGTAGCTTTATACACAGAAGGTCAAATAAGATCAAATAAGGCCTTAAGAACGTTACAGAGAAATACAGCTATTTAATGCTACTTCATGATATTTCAGCATTGGTCTATAATACCAACAGTTGATTTGGAAACACTGGACCATTACAAGAAGTGAAGATGTTGAAGAGTTTGACGCAGGAGTGCATCATCGAGTATATCAAGTTTTGGATGTTTTTTCTTGATTTTTTTAAGGGTGGAAAATACCATTTCAGAACCCATTTTAGAACCCAAAAACGGAATAGCGGCCAAAAATTTTAGGTTCTAAGACCCCCCTTGTAGATTCCATTTTAGAACCCATATTTGGGTTCTAAAATGGTCCCCAAGGGGGTTCGAAGCAACTTGAGAGGATGTATTTTGGTGATATATAAAGTATGATATAGTGGGGATAAGAGGGGTTGACCAACGAACATAGGAATTTTAGAAGCAAAAACAGAGATTGAAACCGGGATTTTTCATTGGGAGTGGATCAAAAAAATGATGAGGCATACCAATTTTGGAGATGGGAATGTGGTGGTCGCTTGTTCTGTTGGAATTTGAATCTGGGTAAAATTTGCGGTGTGGTACGATATATCGAATTGGTTTTAGGTGGGATCGTGATGGTTGGATGGGTTCAAAAGAGCAAGAAAGGGAACTTGTTTTGATGCCAAAAACGGTAATTAACACACTGTAATTTGCATGATGAAACGGTAGCTATATAATTATTATATTGTATGTCCTTTGTGTAAGGGGTTGAAACAGGTCAAAACATGTTTGAACCATCAACTCGGTGTAGCAAGATCTCAGCAGCACAACTACCCCTGGCAGCTGGCTGTTTCACCCAAGGAGTGCAGAGCCTCGCGCCGCACTCTTCGCTTGGTTCCGAGTCCCAGGGGTTTACACCGGGCACACTGAGGACAGAGGTGGTTTGAAATGGTTTCAATGGACGCCAGTTGGGTTACGTGCGTGCTTTCAACTGTGTCTTGTTTTCAAGGATAGGAATGTGATGATGATCCCAAGTGACTCACATTTCCAAGGGGGTTGAAAGCACCAACGAGTTGATGGCGTTTGCAGCCCTCAACTTGACGTGACATGGAACATTAAGGGTTAAGAGATGTTGAGAGTATGGCTCAAAATTCCAGACCCTCAGGCCCACACATTGACAGGTCCTTCTGACAACCTTGTGTAGGCATCCAAATTTGATGGGTACACCAGTACATAGATACCTCAATGACACCATCTTCATAATATGATAATTATGATATTCTAAAGAACCAGTATCTTACACGGTGCCCCAGTTCGGAATCGCTACGTTGGTTGGTTTTCTGGCACCAGCACCTTGGGTCACCCCCTGTTTTTCGCGTTGCGCGACAGGAGAACTTTGGACCTGAGGGCCTCCATCGTGCCAATGAGTTCCGCAACTCGGACGACCGACCGCGACCTGCGACACCGGGGATGAGATGGGTAATGATGGCACTCTAGCCTGGTGGCAACAAATATAGCCATCAACCAATGGGGAATCCCCAAAAAGATAGAAAAGGTTAATCCCACTAGAATAGTGATAATTCACTGTTCTATCTTTTTGAAGATGGCTCTACGCTGTACTCAGTAGCAGTGTGGTGAAGTTTCGTTTGTTGATGGCAGACCAAATTGACTTGATACCAAACTTCGTTACAGGGGGGGTGCTCCCCAGTGATAAGTTGGTCTATAATCCCCGCAACACCCTGTGACCATCCGCCATAAACCTTAGCGAAATTGGAGTTGTGTTCAACAACTTGGCTCACTATTGTGCCCCACCCTGTAGTTGATGACACTTGACAATTTTGCAATCCCGTTGTGAAACAAGCAGCCAGCTGGATGTGCGTGTCAGCTGGTTCTGCCTGGCATCAGGTCACTATGTGAGGCCCCGTCTTCAGACGGTGGAGTCGGAACAAAGAGAATTGTCAAAAGGCGAAGGTGATGAGGACCCCGTGGTAAGTCTGAAATTTTGGAGCATGAAGAAGTTGAAGAACATACAAACCTTGAGGGAAGTGAAGACCACCCGCAGCAATGTACGCGTTTTGGGGGGGCCACAGTGGTGGATGGTTGAACGCAACAAGACCAGTGTAAGAAATCATGCCACGTGTAACTTGAACGAATCATAACATCCATGCAGCCCCAGTGCTGGCATTAAGAGTATTTCTTCCATTATTGGGAGTTCTTATATTCTATGAAAACATGTTCACGGGGCGCACAGTTTCACAGCCCATCTTGGGAATGGGATCTTGCCGGGTTGATGATTTCGACCAGGAGGCTTGGGGCTTCAAGCGCGGTTCCAAATTGGTTCCATGGACACGCGGCCTGGTTTGATGTTTGGGGTTGATGCCGCAGCTGCTTACAGGGACTGGCTGTGTGGAGAGCACCCTTTGTTTATGCTCCCACGGTCGTTCATCCCACGTATTCGGAATGTAGACTCGTTGAATTTGATTTTATTGGTGGGGCCCCAAACAACGTGATATATTTTCACATATATACTACATTTACATAATAAGTATGCAATATTTTGCAATATATATTATATATATATATGTATAAATGCATATATACATATATATATATACATATGTATATGTCTTATATATGTGTATGAGTGTATGTATTTGTATATGTATTTACGAGATATAAGATGATATGAGTAGACTTGTAGCAACGCTGCAATAAAGGTACCCATATTTATTGCGTAAATAAGTGGTTCATCCATATGTCATGTTCCTCAAGGGTCCTTTCTTGTTATACATTCCGCTGGCATCGGATGCAGCGTTTCAAGGCTCCTGGGGCGAAGAAAGCGTTTGCTTCCGCTGCAACCAGACGGCGCTCAGCGGGGTCAGTGCGTCTCGCCCCGGCGCCGTACGCAATGAGTGGTACTGCCAGAAGCTTGGCTGTGCGAGATATGTTAAGGGCCAGGGGGTAGCCATGACATGTCATGACATGGTATGTTCATGGATTTTGAATAAACTATAGTGTCCACAGATGTAATCATTCAGTAGTGGGCTGAGGCGCTATTTCAGCAGGTTCGCGTGACCGTATGACCCACAACAAATATCGTGTAGGAAACATTGTGGCGAACCTATTTGACAGCAATTTGTTCTGAATATTGTTTGGTGATTTCTTGAAACATTGGGTCGTTGAAGTTGGCCAGTTTGACCCATCAGTGGACTGGACATTGATTTGCTGCAGTTTTTTGAAGGTTGGTGAAGTTTGATGTGTTGACATCCAAACTGTTCACTCGCATCACTTAACTCACTGGAATCAACAGGGTTCAAGCAATGGGTGATTCCCATGAAGGGCCACCCCTAGATAGGTAAGTTGACTTCGCATTAGGTTAGCCAGGATTAGGTTAACCAGGATCTCTGGTGGATATTGATGGATAAGCTATGATCAATTTGTAGTTATATAGATGGGGCTATAGACCAGTTTAATTGGGGGGCCTCTTCCTTTGTAGAATCGGGGCCCTCAGACACGCGGTGCGAGGAGCTGCTGGGAGGAATGCGGTGGCACACCTGAAGCATGGCCTGGGAATCTGACTGAGCCATGGGAACAACCAGATCGTGTAAGTGAAGAACGGCTCAAGGAACCTCGATTTGGTAATTGTTTGGTCAGCACAATGGTTAAAAGAAACACCTTGATTCCCAAATGATAAGGCTGAAGATTAGTTCTTTTTCCCCACCTGCCAGGTGAGGGTTGTTAGATTTTATCAGAGCTGTTCTCCTCCTCCTCCTCCTCCTCAGCTAGCTGTCCTCCTCCTCCTCCTCCTCGTCCTCCTCCTCCTCCCCCTCTAGTTTCTACTCGACCATGTCTGCATCAACTTCCACCTCCACTTCCGCCTTGCCAACTCTTCGCCAAGCTCTTTGCCAACTCTCTTCGCCAAGCTCTTTGCCAACTTCCCAGCTCAGTGTGCACCGCTGGACCTCAACCTGGGACCTGCCCAGCTCAGTGTGCACCGCTGGACCTTAACCTGGGACCTGCCCAGCTCAGTGTGCACCGCTGGACCTCAACCTGGGACCTGCCCAGCTCAGTGTGCACCGCTGGACCTCAACCAGGGACCTTCCCAGCTCAGTGTGCACCGCTGGACCTCAACCTGGGACCTGCCCAGCTCAGTGTGCACCGCTGGACCTCAACGGCCAGATAGAATGCCAGAAGATATGCCAGATAGAATGTCAGATAGAATGCCAGAAGATATGCCAGATAAAATGCCATGAGATATGCCAGATAGAATGCCAGAAGATATGCCAGAACATATGCCAGAAGATATGCCAGATAGAATGCCAGATAGAATGCCAGAAGATATGTCAGAATATATGCCAGAACATATGCCAGAAAATATACCAGATAGAATGCCAGAAGATATGTCAGAATATATGCCAGAAGATATGCCAGATAGAATGCCAGAAGATATGTCAGATAGAATGCCAGAAGATATGCCAGATAGAATGCCGGATAGAATGCCAGAAGATATGCCGGATAGAATGCCAGAAGATATGCCAGATAGAATGCCAGAAGATATGCCAGATAGAATGCCAGAAGATATGCCGGATAGAATGCCAGAAGATATGCCAGATAGAATGCCAGAAGATATGCCAGATAGAATGCCAGAAGATATGCCAGAAGATATGCCAGATAGAATGCCCGAAGATATGTCAGATAGAATGCCAGAAGATTTGCCAGTAAGAAAATCTATAAATGTCATGGTGGGGATCACACGAAGTAAAGTAATTTGAAACTAATTTGGGAATCAATCTTCCTTCTGGCAATTTAAGATAGCTATATGGAAAATCCCCATTGAGTCTAGGTGAATCGTCTATAAAGGGGGCATTTGCCTAGCAACCTGCGAAATTCCCCGAGGATGGGGTCGAATCCCTATGATCGGGAACAAACTCGGCAGGAGCTTCAAGCACGAGGGCTCAACATCACTCCTGGCAAGGGACGTCACAAACTGACACTGCTTCGGGAGAGAGGTGCGGCTGGGGAAAACTGCGGCAGAAATTGACTGGTGAACGGTAGGTCAGTAGGTTTGGGGTCAGAAGAGGAGGAATACCCAAACATGCAGAAAATAATCAATTTATATGCACGGAAGTTTCATGCGAATGCGCATGCACACGTAAACATGCAGATCAAGCAATCATGTTTTTTGTTTTTTGCAGAGTATCTAAATCATCCACCACAGAGGCAGGCTAATTGTTGTGCAATTTCGTTTTGCCATGCGCCAGGCTATTTCATCCCAGTTGACCCATCCAATGCTTGGCTCGATCGGGTGAGCAACGACCCGCAACCCTCCGGATGGAAGGATGCGATGAAGAAAGCCTTAGGTGAAGTTCCACGTTTCGATGGTTTCTAGCCAGAGCTCGCGAAGAAAAGAACATCACCGCACATCCATCATGTACATAACTGTTAGCCATCATTGAATCATAGTCCCACTTAATTCCAGGCAATTCCAGGCTTGGGCCCCGGGCATGGGACATGATTTCAATCCATTTGTGCCATATAACAATACCGACAATAGCCATATTAATGATGTGGCCCCATGGTTGTAGCCCCTCTTTTTTATGCAAAAGTTGATCGTTAAATCTGTTGGATGCCAATGCTTGTTGATTACTTGGATCAGCCCAGTTGGTAACTGGTTAGTAACCCTGGTCAGTAGGTCCCCCAACTAGGGTTGTCCATGGCTATCCAATTCATAGCTAATGATGACCCTCCAAGTAACCACTTATTTTTGATGGCACATCTCTGGCTGGGCCCAACATTCCCAACATTGGGCAGGAACACGGCACTTTCAAGTCAATGCAGCTGGCAGGGGCTCTCATGAATTTTGGTCACAGCTGGGCTGCAAGTCCTTTGTCCAGGGTAAATCATGTGCCGTCATTTGAATGTGGGTTGGATTGAGCCCCCAAATTTGGATAGTCAAATTATAGACCAAAGATGACCAATGCTGTTGTCCCTTTTACGCAGCCTATGTTTGGCTCATACCCAGATGATCCTCTAGGCCTGCAGGGCAGTGGTCATGACACACCCTGAGTTAATCCATAGCTTGGTTTGTTGCATTTGCCTCCTGATTTTCTCCACTTGGGTTTGCCTGAAACTAGGGTCGGTATATCCATGTATATCCCATGTTCAATGGCCATTTAGTGAGGAAAATCAAGTTTTCACCCAGTGGGCATTGGGGATGCCGTTCATACCTCTTTTTCAGACAGACCTGTCAATGGAAAATCTACAGGAAAAATGTATTCGCCACGTTTTTTTCTATGATCTCTGGGGAGTTTCCTGTAAACTGTTCCTCAAGTAAATTCACATAGACCCTGATAGATAGCAGTTGGAAGATCTAAGGTTAGTTTCCATTAAAAATTGGTTATTATTGGAGTCCATGTCTATGTTAATATACGAAGAGGCTAAACCATGTTCACCCAGTTTCCTCCAACAGACCCATAACATCATGCCGACGTAGGTCAGATTGCAGGGCTTGCAAACCACCGAGCTGAATGGCAGGTGATTCTCAGTCTCGGTGGCTGACCAGTTTATTGAAGCATAATGAGAACAGGTTGCTTAGAGATGGATACAGAGTGATATGTTTTTTTAATTTTTATTTGTGATATGATTTTGCAATATACATGTACGCTTGGGATCATTTGGACACAACTTGTTGCATCTGATTGCTGCTTGCTTCATGGGATTTTTACTGGAAATCTGATGGGGTCGTTGACCAGGATGAGGCTGGTGAACGTTGAGATGTGGGGGAATCCAGGCTTAAGAGGGATCAGAAATATGGTTGCTTCATAAGCTCATGGTCTGTATTGGCACAACCAACAAAATCAAACGCCCCAAAGACGACTCATGTAGCACATGTATGCTGATGTAAATACTGGGATCTAGGCACATTGAGAAATAGGACCCTACTAAGTGGGATCCCAAGAAACGATGTGAAATTGGCAAGTCCCGACCCCATTGTCTAACCAACAAGTAACCAAACCGACACAAATTTACCAACCAGACTAACTGTAACATGTCAGGAAGTCCACTATAAAACTATTCTGTTGGAAATCCAGTCGCTAAGTGACGAAGTGACCCCGTTATCGAACTAATTACTTGGAGGATCATCCCACTTAAAGCTGGTTACCATTTGTAAATGGAATATCCCTAGCTAGGGGGCTTACTAATCAGGGTATAAAACCACTAAGTGGAATCATCAATTTTTATCCCTATACGAAATCCCATTAAAACACCATCACCATTAACCACTTACGAAGTAAATGGGGGTACCCCAAATCATCCTGCAGCTGGGGTGCCCTTTCTGGAACCCCCTGTACGTAATCCCCATCAGCCAGGCTCGGTCGCCTACAAGGCTTCGACAAACACGCCCAGCGATGGCAGGTGCGATGGTTTTCTCGTTGGGGGTGACATATTCAGTCTAAGCCTTTATGAGTCCATAATGGATGATAGCATATTTAGCGGAATATGACATGGGATACAGAATGGGATGCCAGTTACTAGGATGAAAGCTAAATGCTACTGGGATCTCAGCAGCTCGTTTTGTTTTTCATGTTGTTCCTTTTTGGAGAGGGGGACATCATCTACTTTTTTTGGAATGTATGACCCATGCATGGGAGAACCAAGAACAAATCGGATGACAAACTGCATAAGAGGTAGGAAATTAACTTGTCTTAGCCAAGAAGAAAGGGTTTTATGATGTTTGAATATGTTCAGCCGTTGTCATAGGGCAATGGTGGAGATTGGAAGGTCAAACCGGTCGAACCCATGTTTTTTGATCAGGATGGCAGAGCGGCAAGTGGATAGACTCTCTGTGTGCGTTGAACAATTCTGAAGTAAACACAGCCACAACGGGATAAATTGGGGATGTATACCAAACATGGATGTTATGAGATATACAGGGATATGATGCGGACACAACTGGGATAATTTATTGGGGCATTTCCACGGGGTTCAATTCCTTGGTGTT